GAAATCCGACCAGCTGTTTCAAAGGTTACCCCCTACATATAAACTTACAAATTTTACCTCTTTATAATATTTGTACGGACTACCAAAAGATCGCGAATGATCCTTGACCTCTGTCAAAAAAACGTTCATTTATTAACACTACTTAAGATAAGTTTTCAATAAAAAAGATATTTTCGGTACACGAGATAAATAAAATGACGAAAACATTCGTATATTCATTCATTTGTGTCCCAAGCAAGCAGAATCAAAATTTTGCTGTTATGATAAATTAGCCATAAAGTCGTAATACTATTTACTATGGACTGTTTTCTCGTTGCAAAATATGAAACATCGCAACACTAGGTCAGTGTAGTAATATTTCTTCCGTCGCAGAACCGGTTTCGAGCTCGCGGCATTGGTCCAAGCCCGGAGCTGCACATTCATACAAGCTTAGTCACTTTGCAAGTGTACTAACTCATTGGAAGTAGGTACTGGAAAACTCCTCACACCTTTTTGTCATTACTGATAGTAATATTTGAAATAACAAGGCACCTGATTCAAATAAGGGCAACGGTTAAAGACATGTAAATAAAGAATTAGGTCATGCATGAGCAATCAACACGATTATTTTATTTTCAAGGAATATTTATAATGATAAGTATTAATTAGGAGGTGGAGAGCGAAATAAAGAACACGGATATTTAGTTCCCAGCGTTAAATTGAGATATGACTTCCAGTTTTTTGTTAAGGCAAGCTGCAAGGCCAGTTTCGCTTTATCGAAATCTTGACCTTATAACTGTTTCACACATACAAAAGCCTGCAGAAACAGATGTTTCATTTTATTTACTTAGGCGTTCCGATAAGAATATCAATTGTGTGCTTATTCTAAATATTTACTCAACTGTATACTGATTGAAGAAACACCTGATGACTTGGCAAAAGACAAAATGATATTGAACTGTTGTCCTTGTCTATTTGTGGCAGCTTAAGATGCAACTAATGGACAAAAGGATTAATCTAGTAGAATTATGTACTCTATTTCTATGGAATTAAAACTCAAGTATAGATTAGCATATAGAAGGAAAGCAGTCAAGATACCAAACACGTGTACCTATGCTATAATTTGGTAGTAGGTAGTATAATTTGGTGTAAAAAAATCCCCAATTTTGTGTTTTGATTCGCTAGATTTAAATTTAAGTAGTTTAGATAAACTCAAATAAATGTTATCTCGTATTCATTATTGTACGAGTAAACATGACTCACCTATATTATGCTATTTCTCAGTAAATTAACTGTCGTATTTACGTCATATTAGACCAAATACGACACTATATGTATATCGATATATGTATATCGATAGATACTAGAAAGACTTCAGTGAATGATTTTTATAACACCTGGGCTGAGAATTCTTATTGTTAATACCTGAGTTATTATGGTTTCATAAGGCTAATGGATAGTAGGAAACCGCATACAAAGACAGAAGGTATAATAGCTTTTGAGATTTATGATGGATAATGGAAACGTGGTGATGTAGTGTTATCAAGTAAATACTTATATCCTTCCGGACAATAACAAAATACAAACATAATCGCAATTGGCATATAAACGTACGTATACATAGTACAAGTGACAAATTCATTGCATATCGTATAAACGAATTTGTGGAGCATACTACGGGCGGAAGCGGACAATCAGACTCGTTTTACCGGACAACCGCAATGATGAAGTACTATCTACACTATCAGGATTGAGAGCCACATTGACGACAACAGCGAAAATATCAAAATCACCTTCTATTGAGCATGAGCAGAGACTGATATGTAAATATTTAATATAGAATCTAATAATCTATTTACATTGGCTATAGCTTTTTTCATCTATATTAGATAGACACAAGCCAAACTGGGAAAAATCGTTAATCTAGAGTTCTATCGTTGTCATTGCTTATCCTAATCCAACTTGCGTGTTTTTAACCATTAAATCGTGGTAATTCGAGACACAATATATAAGAACAGTATGTGCGTGAACAGCGTTTGATGAATTAAATGCACGACTATATGTATAAATAATTTGGAACCATCTTCCGATAAGATTAAATAGTTGTATTAATTAAGTAGGTTTACATATTGTCTTCTCAGAAAAACTCTTGTGCACATTAATGTTAGCTAAATAGGTAGGATGGGGCAACATATGTTTGATAAAAGCCCCAGAACAAAATCAATATAACAGGTAGGCTCTAAAATACTTATAACACTAAGCAAGGTCTATATACTCCATATCCATGGTCACTCTAACCGACCTGCCATTTTTTTTGTTATGTATAAAAATGAAAAAATATCAAAGCCTAAACAGTATTGTACTAAAACTTGTCAAGTCCTTGAGAAAAGCGAGCATGATGTTATGTAGAGTCACCACATCAAATACACAAAGGAATGTAAGTAGCTAGGCAGCACGAATTAAAAACGTCCTTGACACTTCAGTATTTACTAAGGTAACTTTCATAGCGTGTAAATAACTATAAAACCGAAATTATTGTAATAAGTACCTTAAAACACTAAGTGGTAAACTAGTGAGAGTCGATATTATATTCTGTAGAGGAACAGTAGCAAGGCAATGCACACAAGTTATTAATTACAAAACAACATTCAGTCCTTCAGCAGTGCTCGCAACACGAAACAAAGAACTATATTTATCTCCAAAATACAGTTCGTTCAACCGAGACTCGTAGCGTCGGGATTAGACCGTGTTTATTGAAATGCAGGCAAAACTCTTACCAAAATAGCTAACGACGTGTGGACACAAGATAACAGTATAACACTAAAACAAATTTTAACTAGAAACTTCTTTGTAGCACGGGTATAATCCACGGAATCTATTTGTAACTAAATGAATGTTGTCAGCAGACTTAGTATCGTTTGATAAGTTATCGGACGCGGGTCCTCATAGCGTTCATTATCTGTTTGATAACAAAAAAACTTTGCAATAGCGAGCTGTGGGTACTTAGTTGTCACTATCTCAAGCTCGGCATCGACGCAATCGCGATATTGTAGTCGATATAACAACATTAAATCATAGCATTACGCCTTTGTTTACTTGACGTGGGCAGAAGTGGTTAATAACTTCCGGCCAACGGTAGACATTGAAGATTTTAACAAAAAGGCAGACATTACATTATTAGGTGCATCGTCTAGTCATGACCCGAATAGGGGGATTCTTTGTCAGTACCTGACTATGCATATGTTAACACTGCTCAGTAGCAATGGAAATTTGAATTACAATTCAAATATTTAAAAAAATTGGCACTAACTAAGTTTTATTTATAACACCAGTTGGTACTAAAACGATTGATTTTTTTAAGGGATAGGTCGGCAAACGAGCAGAGGAATGAAAATTAAAATCGAGACAATCGAGTACACCTATTACGATACGCATTTTAGCACATAGAATTTAACATCGCATTCAATTGTTTACCTCGGAACGGATGACTAACGATTGTCAGCGAAAATAAACAAGAATAATTCCCGTTCAAGTTTATTTCCATTATTGCAAATACATATGTATATGCGTTGTACTACAGTTACCGCGAAACGTGCGTAAAAGATACATCTCACGCCTACATCAATCATCTGTTTATTCTGTTTCAGACTCAACAATGAATGGCAATATATCAATCGTTTCGTGTGGTTTACGCAACAAAGAAAAGGCAGAAGACAATTCATGTTAAAGCCGGAAACTTCGATGCATACAAAGAATGCCGGTGATTAGCTACGTTACAATGTGGAATAGACAAAGAGATAGATGCGGCGATATGATAGTAATGATAGTCTAATTGTTAGCACTATTCGTATGCTAAGCTATGCCAGTGTTTGTATACAACCTACATAGTGACGGAGGTGACGTAACCGACAGTTTGCGACAGCCATGTCGCGTATCCCCAACAGTGGCGCAACAAAACGCCACTGACAATTTCCCTCCAATTTCGTATATCCGCGGCACGATATAAAAAATGTTACAATCATAATTGAATATTTTTTAAAGGTGTTTATTTTGTATTCGTTAATCACCAATCACTATTATAACACTTCTTAGGCAATATTTTTGTAAATTGTTGGTTCTTGTTTATTTTGGCCATACAGAGAATAACTGATCTAGAAAATTAATAGGACAACCCCTATTAATTTTCAAGGTAAGTTACTGTTTCATACACATTTGAAATGAATAAAATAATAATGGGTATTACCTAGGATGTATGATATGACTAGAAAGATTATTACCTAAAATTCTGATATTACAAGTAATCATGTTGACTATGAATATGACAAAAAAAAAAAGAAAATGCATGGTTTTATTGTTAAAATATAAAATATTATAGATACAAACTAAATTTATAAAAAAAAAACTTAGACAACTTAAAAATAGTAATAAAAAAGTCTGTTTTCAGTTTTTAATTTAAGTAATATCTGTATGAGGTCAAAACTAGTTTTGTAGTTTACAATAATATCAAAACTATTAATCCCAGAAGGAGTAAGCAGAGCTCCCATTCCCATGTTACGGAGAATGAGCATATTCTCTGACTCCTAAAAATCAGCCCCTAATACTACTCATTGACCGTATGTTTTTGTACCATACCAATGCCTGTGACAAATGGGTATTCCCTTTAGGTACCTACATTTTGATTTTAAAATGTTTTCACAGTTGGTCATGCAAGACAAATAGAGCAGTAGAGAGCTGAATGGGTTTAGAACAATGTGAATGGATTATTAAATAATATAATTATTTAGAAGCAGCATATCTTGGTGAAAACTAGTCTGTGTTATTCCAGACAAAATACTATCTCTGTGCTGGGTCTTATCAAAATTTATTTAATAGGTTTTGTGTCAAAGAGTTGTGTATTATAATGATTCTAGAATTGATCTGTTTTATAGATTTAATAATTATGTTATATTATATATTTACTACAAACGCAGCAGTTAAGGAAGGCCAAAATAACAAGTTTAAAAGTAAGTCAACAAACATACCTGAAACTTTTCAAACTGCTCGCGCTCAGCATCCAAGCTGTTCTTTTTCAGCTGGAGGACTCGAGGTAAGGATAATGACGCCATAGGGTACACACATGCACACACCTACGAAAAATAGCAACTAGCGATGGTACTTAGACCAACCACGACACGATTTAATATTTTAAATGAGGGCGAACTAGGTTTATCTAAATCACTGCATCTACACTATTGTACACTTTACTACAAATTTAAACTGCTTTTAACCAATAAAATTTAAGCTTTCAAATTGTTATTTATCCTATACAATAACGTAAATAAAATAGTTACGAATATATCAACATACAACACGTCTGCCGTCCGCCCACAAAAAATGAATGAATTAGTGAAATATGAATGAAATTCACGACGACTTGAATGAACAAGCTGTCAAACTGACGTAATGATTAAGTTTACAGAGAAAGTAACAAAGTTATGTGATGTCAAGTGAATGGTTATCTTTATAAAAAACATTATTTTGTTTAAATGAAATAAAGAAATAATCGATATATGATACAATCTTAATACATTTACATTTACAATTTATCTTAATACAAGTTTCCATCTTAGTACTAAAACAAGTGGGTAAAAGTTGTTATTACTTGGTAACCCTAAGCTTGACAGACTTGCTGTCATTTGGCTTAAAGGACATGTATCCAGGCCATAAACTCCAAAAAAACTTGCTGTCACAAACGTCAATTTTGTTGTTTCGTTGATAGTTCGTGCCGCTGATTTTTTTCATACACTGTTTAGCGCGTGGATGTTTCTGACCACATTTTAAAGCTTTAAATTGTAATTTTACATTTGTTATAATCCAGTAAACTAAGAAAATGGAGTTTCTCGAATACAACGACGTCCAGGCGGAGATCAAAGGCGCTATGGTAGGATTTGTCGAATAATTTGTGTTTTCTTCTACTCCGCTATTGTTAATTGTAATTATTTAACTTTTTAGGTTCCAGGGAGACTAAAGATGACAGACCAGAATATAGTGTTCAAGAACAGCAAGACTGGCAAGGTGGAACAAATCCCAGCTAATGAGATAGAATTGGTGAACTTCCAAAAGTTTATAGGATCGTGGGGCTTGAGAGTGTTCCTGAAGAATGGCACTCTACACAGATATGGTGGATTCAAAGAGGGGGTTAGTATTACCTAAGCTAACTTTTGAACAGGAAAATCCAGAATTATTATTATCATACATAATTTGTCTAGTCTTACACTCATATGATGCGAGTCCAATAAGATAATGCAATAAAGATGTTAGTTCCAAATCATCCAAGGACACTGTATGTGTCATTTTGTAGATGTAGACCTGTACTTAATACACCAAACTTGTTTTTACTAGGTTTATAAGTTGCATCCTATTCATTACCAACCATTACTATTACAGGAACAAGAGAAGGTGGCAAAGTTCTTCAAAACTAATTACAATAAGGACATGTTGGAGAAGGAGCTCTCCCTCAAAGGCTGGAACTGGGGAACTGCTAAGTTCAATGGAGCAGTACTGAGCTTCAATGTAGGATCAAACACAGCTTTTGAGATCCCGCTACACTATGTTTCTCAATGCAACACAGGCAAGAATGAAGTCACACTTGAATTTCACCAGGTAAATGCTTAACTATATCTATATATATGATGTCATAGATTGAGTCACCAACTAGTTTTCCAGGTCTTGACAAGAAACATAAAAAAACCATGATTAAATTTACTTTTGTGGTGCTATTATTTAACTTTTTTGTATAAAATAACAATTTACTGATGATTTCATTTGTAACAAAGGTGTCAACTGAGGTTTAAAGTAAAATACAGATAATATTTTCCTGAAAGATTTTGTCACAGTTACCAAAACATACATTTAATAATGTTTACATAATATTGTGCAATGTTGTTCTAACATAGACAAGATAAGGAGCCTGTCATAGATATTTATAATATTTATAATTGTCACATAGTTCCAATTTTTACCAAGGCAAAATGAGTGTGGCTACAGCAATAAATTAATATCTTACTCACAGAATGCAAAATGCAACATCTAATGATTGAGATCGACATTGCGAATGAACGTGACTTTGGTATAATTATGTTAAAAAAGAAATGCACCCAAGAATAACAATATAACTATCAATAATAATTCTTGGGCTGGAAAGCTACAGAAAGAAAAAAAAATATTAGATAACTTATACTTAGAAAAGTAAAATGTGCACAAACTATCCCATTAATTGACATAGTCCTCATTTTCCGACCTACATGATTTGATCCAAATTTTACCGTTTTATTAACAGAATGATGACACTCCAGTGTCTTTAATGGAAATGCGTTTCCACATCCCAACCAGTGAGTTGGCAGGAGACATGGACGCTGTGGAGGCATTCCACCAGCAAGTGATGAACAAAGCCAGTGTCATCTCCGTCTCAGGTGATGCCATCGCCATCTTCAGGGAACTGCAATGTCTTACACCTCGGTATGCACCATCTTATTTTTAATTTTTGTTTATATAATAATATTGTCAAGATCGAGATCTGCATATATTACTGTCAGAAAAAAGTAATACTAATTTTCTTAGGTTCCAGTTCTTATATTTATTGACAATGCAATTTTTTTTATCTAAATAAAACCTCTTTCTTAACACTTTTAACAGATTTCTCTAATTTGACTATAATTTTTGTCCTTAGTGGTCGTTACGACATCAAGGTATTCCAGACATTCTTCCAGCTTCACGGTAAGACCTTCGACTACAAGATCCCGATGTCGACAGTACTACGCTTATTCTTGCTACCACACAAGGATACGAGGCAGATGTTTTTCGTGGTGTCTCTCGACCCACCCATCAAGCAAGGTCAAACTAGATACCATTACTTGGTACTGCTATTTGGCATTGAAGAGGAAACTAGCTTGGAGCTGCCGTTTACTGAGTAAGTACCTAGAGTTCTACTTTATTTCCTATTGTTGTTATTGTAAAGTGAAAAGTGAGTGGTGTCTATCGTCTAATACATCAAAAAAGTGTGTTCTCACATTAAATATTTACCAATAAAAGCTTAATAGTGATAAAGAAAATAAAAAAAGATGACACTTAGTGTGTGAGAGCCATGCTTGGGCACAAATAGGTAGACTCGACCGGAACGATACACCGGCCTCACAGAAAGCTTGCGTGAAATAAATACAGCATAGTGTTTCGCCATGTGAGTGAGGTTAGCAGAGACCCAATCCTTCGGCCGCACCCAAATCCCAAGCTGAAACACCAATGCCAAAAAAGACTTAACTTCACTATTGGTCATATTTGCGGAATTTCGGCTACATTGTTAATAATAAGACCAATACCTATTATTATTGCTTAAAGCGAAACTCAATACTTTATGCATAACTTTCTAATTAACTCGACTTGTTGCGTTTTCAGGGAAGAATTGAACGAGAAATACGAAGGAAAGATAAGCAAAGAATTGTCAGGTCCAACTTACGAAGTACTCGCGAAAATCATGAAGGTCATCATCAACAGAAGAGTGACAGGACCTGGAGACTTTTTGGGGTAATAAAATACATATATGTTAAAATATAATGTAGGTACATCACTATCATTGCATAGTTTAACAATGTCACTTTCTCTGTCCCATTGTCTTTATGTACGCTTAAATCTTTAAAACTACGCAACGGATTTTGATGCGGTTTTTTTAATAGATAAAGTGCTTGAAGAGCTTGTTCGTATGTACAATAACAATGATTAAATAGTAAAGAAATTTAGTATAACAATAAGCGTAACACGTTTCGTGTATTAAAACATAGACTAACACCCGGTTTCCGAAAGGCCGATCAATGTTAAAATCAATTTAATCTCTTGTCAAGTCATCTGATTGGTTGACTGAATTATCAACAACCAATTAGATGACTTGACAAGAGATTTAACAGGAGATTAGTAAATTTTAGCGTAGACAAGCCTTTCAGAAACCGGGTGTTAAATACAGATTCTCAAAGTTTAGCTAGATTATTATAAAACTAGCTTCGCATCGCAAGCGTCCTAAAATAATGTATCCCGGGATTAAAATAACAGCAGCGTTTATAGCAAAAGCATGATTTATATACGCAAATCAAGTATAATTTATAGCATAAAGTACTCGGGAAAAATCAGTAAAAAAAAATTTGGAAATCCGACAAGTGATTTGGCCCTACATACAAACTTACAAAGTTTGCTTGCTCTTCTATATTATATAGGTATAGATTTTTAAACAATGATTCAGTTACATTGAAAAACAATTAAAATAAATAACTTAATTAAAACAATCACATAAAACTGCATGTTAGACTGCCTATTCACAGGTTTCTTTTAAATTTTCATCCAAAGGTCTGGAAGTAATCCCCTACATATGTGATAAGACAGCCCATTGTACACTCTGTATTTGCAAGCCTGCTCTTTGTACAAGTTTTAATAATGTGCACAATATAAATAAATAAAAAACGTTATACATAGTCTATACAAGTAGTATTAACACATTCAGTGCCCCCGACGCGTATGTGCGTTTCCTCGCACGCACATACGCGTCGGGGGCACTGAATGTGTTAAAAGCGAAACTACGACACCAAAATTACACTAATACTACTTAATTACTTACTTATAATAATCGAAAAAAACATGTAACTCATTCCAGTCACCACAAGACGCCGGCGATAGCGTGTTCCTACAAGGCGGCCGCCGGTTACCTGTACCCGCTGGAGAAAGGGTTCATCTACGTGCACAAACCTCCTGTACACATTCGATTCGAGGAAATTGCTTCTGTCAACTTCGCGAGAGGAGGTGCTTCCTCTACCAAGTAAGTCATATTGTATAGTCATCAGCGGTCACCACGGTATATAAACAAGTAATCTGACAAATTATCCAAATAATATGCCGAATTATCCAAATTATATGCCGAATGGACAAAATCAGGCCATTCAGTAAACTCAATGCCATGTGGCATTGAGTAACAAGATAGAATAACTATCCATTCGGCAACGTCATGTCCCAAGAAGCATCATTAATTTGTTTTCCACCTATTACTGGAAAAAAGCCTCTCCAGTAGATTTTGCGTATTTTACATTCAGCGCAACGCCTAATCAAAAGTAGGGAAGTGCCCTACGTTTGATTAGGCGTATATGCTTGATATTAGCTACTACTAATATTTCGTTATACAAAAGTATCGTCATGATAATTCGTCTAGTATGTAATCAAAAGAATCATTAAATAATTGTAGTAAAAGTTAAATTCTTAAACATTTCTTACAAGAACTATTGAAACATCTATAAAATATGAGCAAAGCGCAAAACACTGCCGTTATTTTCGTAGCCGTAAGTCGTTATTTTCAATAAACAAAAAAACACTATTTTTAAATTATGTCATATTGCTGTGTTCAGGTCTTTTGATTTTGAAATCGAGTTGAAACAAGGTAGCGTGCACACGTTCAGCAGTATCGAGAAGGGAGAGTATGACAAACTCTTTGATTACATCACCTCCAAGAAACTACACGTCAAGAACACTGGCAAGAATGTAAGTTTTTTTCTTCTTCTATTTCCAATAATGCCGTACATGTTGCCGCTCGGCACCTATTGGCAGCGTAATGTTATGTAACTTGAAAGTTTTTTCCACAAGTGACCAATCCAACACGGATATTTTTTCAAATCGAACTATAGTAGTGACCGCGTTATCGCGTTAAAACAAACTCTTTAGCTTTACAATATTAGCAAACTTGATATAGTACAAAAAAATACTATGCAAATAGGTCGCGGTTTATTTAATCAAGTTCAATGATTTACTACAAAATACCTGCGTCATAAAAAATATAAATATGACAGTTAAATTTATAAAACACTAGCGGTCCGCCCCCGCTTCGCACGGGTCCAACTATCTCGCTATCAAAGGGTCACTTTTTCCTAATCTTCCCCTCTACTTTTCTAATATTTTCTTTGATGAGAACCTTCTCCTGACAATAACAAACCCAACAAAAAAAGAATTAGCAAATTTGGTCCAGGCGTTATTGAGTTAGCTTACCAACACATTTTGCGATTCATTTTTATATATAAGATTATAAGACATCCATGTATGACTCATCCTTTAATTAGGCAAAAACCCATGACAACAGCGAAAATCCAATCAAAATAAAACCTTATATTTTACAGGATAAAGCCCTATACGATGATGACTTTGGGGACTCAGATACGGAGAAGGAACCTGATGCGTATCTCGAACGTGTTAAAGCTGAGGCCAAGGAACGAGATTCCGGGGACTCAGACTCTGATGAAAGCACTGATGAAGACTTCAACCCTGATAAGGCGAAGGAAAGCGATGTCGCTGAGGAGTTAGTACTTTTATTAATTTCTTCTTTTAATAATTGTAACAGCCTGGAATCTGTTAAAGTAAATCGTTACGTAACGTAGGTCACAGGTACCCTTCGAAGAGATAAATGTGTCTAATAGTCAAACAAAATTCTATAGCCGGTTTATTTTCGTTACAAATATGCGATTCAAAGTCAAAGTCAATATTATTTATTTCAATTAGTGCATACATGCACTTTCTAACGTCAAAAAAAACTTAAAGATAACATTTTCAGTCTGTCCATCAGTCCTGTTAGTTAAGCCATTAGCTCGTTCCATAGTGTAGATTCCGATGGAGAAGATCGAGCAGGAATTCCTATGGTTACTCTTTTTAAATCGGTTTCGTATACAGATTCTTTGGATAACACTGTAATTCTGTGAATAAGTTGAAAATTGTAATAAGTAAGCTATTTGAAAATACTATGAAGTCATCATAACTCAGATTTTCATACTAATTTCATAGAAAAGTATCGTTTTTGACATTTGGATAAAAGTATTGAATTTGACTACCGTATTGTGTGAGAACAGTGTAACACTTATAGTTATTCAGAAAAATATAGACAATAGACAATCCCAATTGACTGCGCCCGGCGATCTAATACCCAGACCCAGAAATTCAATTAATAGAACATACGGAAAGTTTTTCCATGTGGGAATAGCCCGTGTTGACCCTTTGCAGACCTATTGCATAGCACCCCATTGCGCATTGTGCAATTACTTAATCCATTTAAATTTCACATTAGTTAAGCTTAAAATAATAGCATTTTTATTCATATTCAGATACGACACCAACCCATCATCGTCAGAAGATTCGGAAGGATCTGGTGGTGGCGGCGGCTCCGATGATGAAGGCAAGAAGGAAAAGAAGAAGGAGAAGAAACCCAAGAAAGCTATCACTATTGTAAGTATACAGATGATGTTATTTTACGTAGCATACTTATTGATATTAACCCGTGGTATGCCGGAGCGCAGATACACGCGAGACACAATGTGTTTTCTATTGTGTCTCATATACCGGCAGACTAGCGGTTAAACTACCAGCCCGTTCCCGTGCCATTTGATGAATGTCTCGAATTTTCCTTCAATACAATATTTGTTTTCATAGAAACATGAAAACAATTATTGTTCTAGTCATTCGGTTCTGTGATTTATTTTAATTTCCTAAAAATATACAGTATACATTTTAGAAGTCTTATTGATTACAATATTGGTTTCATATCACCATTATAAAAGGCAGATTAGTGTGTTAATTTACATATAGAACTTATATTCGCAAATAAAAACTATTCTGTATGTGTGAGGAATGTTTTTAACGAAATGTTTTTACACTGACGGGTTTCAATTACACAGTAATGTAAAAAAAAAATATGACTTGATATACTTTGATATACTTTAATTCCTGTTCTTTAAATCCAATTTACTTGGCATAAGCACATTGTAATTTCTTTTCTGGTCTGCCTTTATTGAGTTCTTTGTTTGTTCTGACATCATCCTATCACATTTTTCTTTCTGTCTTATACCTTCTTCTTCACATAATTTTCCAATTTCTTGTTTGAAATTTTAATATATTTTTCATGTATTCCAGTCGGAAGCACCACGCAAACGAAAAGAAAAGTCAAAGAAACGCGAGAAGGACGTGAATGCACCGAAACGGCCGGCCACTGCGTTCATGTTGTGGCTAAACGAGAACCGCAAGAGTATCGTAGAGCAGAATCCTGGCATCAAGGTCACCGAGATCGCCAAAAAGGGAGGAGAGCTCTGGAGAGATCTCAAGGACAAATCTGTATGTTATTTTACAATTTTTATCACGTTTTTTAGTTACTGTTTATTATTTTTTTTTGTCTCCAACTTATGAATTCTGGTCATGAATATCATATTAGAATACTTTGAAAAATTTAATTGTTGTGGTGGCCCGGAGGTTATGGAGCCCGCTTCTCATGTATGAGGGTGTGGGTTCGAAACCTGGCAAGAACCAATGTAACTTTTTCCGAGTTATATGTACTTTCTATGATTATTTAGACACCACTGACATACGGTGAAGGTTAACATCGTGAGGAAACCTGGACTTATAATTTCTAATTATAAGTTTGAAATCGCCAACCCGCATTGAGCAAGCGTGGTGATTAATGCTCTAGCCTTCTCCTTGTGAGAAGAGGGTGCTCAACAGTGGGCACTTATAGGCTGATGATGAATACTTTGAAAAATGATGCCATTTTGATACATAGTAGTGTTTTCTTTACATTGTGATTTTATGTAATCATAATTGCGTGCAATTCAATGATAGTGCTGTAGTCATTATTTAATATTTCGGTTTTATATTTAAGTAAAATAAACATCCTAAATAATTCCAATGCAAAATACGCACTCTAAAATTTTTGTAAAATTGAACCTCAAGACCATTCTGTAGATAAACTTCTGCTTTTTGAGACAATAAAACAACCATTAATATAATTTGTGCATAAGAATTAAAATTTATTAAAAAAACAACACAACTTTATAAAACAACTTATATCCTAATACAGGAATGGGAAGAGAAAGCAAGCAAAGCGAAAGAAGAATACAACATAGCCATGAAGAAATACAAAGATAGTGGTGCTGCTGACGAATTTAAGCAGAAGAAGAAACAAGCAGAGAAGGAACGTAAGGCCGCAGAGAAGAAATCCAAAGCCCCAGCAAGTAAAAAATCAAAGACTGCCAGTAACGCAGGCGCTGGTTCTGGTGGGAAGTTCACCAGCAAGGAGTACATTGAAGATGATGATAGTTCTTCTGACTCTGATAAGGAAAAGGACAAGAAGAAGAATACTAAAGATGTAAGTTAAATGTTTATAATAATAAGGGCTGATTTTTCAATGGTTAGATAAAAGTTATCTGAGGAACAATAATTATGATGCTGTCGCGTCAGAATGTTTGTATGAAACAGTGACAGCAACAATTTTATTCCTCTGATAGCATTTATCTGACTATTAAAAAATCAGCGCTTTAGTTTTTTTCTGTTTTACATTTAGGAAATGTAAACATGTTACTTCCCTACAAAATATTAGACTTTTAACTACTTATGCAATTCTAGCTGATTCGGCTAACTCTTTACCGCCTTGAAATTAACTTTTTTCTGAACCTGGCCTTTGAAGTTTACCCTCAATATCCATGAATATTTCACTACCAAAATAAGCCAAATTGCTGTAGCCGTTCTTAAATATTAGCGAGACTAACAGATCAGCAAACCGTTTTTACACAAGATTTTGATTTATACTATAACCAAATTCGTTCGTCGTCTGTATCATAATAGTACAGTTAGATTAAAATTCTCTCTCATCTCAATCTCCATCTCTATCCTAGTATATGCATTTTCGTATCTACGTGTGTTTACTACAAAAACTTTAATATATAATACAATATATATACAAAAGTTTTTGTTGATTACTTGTCGATTGAATAGTACCTATGACTAGTTCCTTACCCCCGATTTCTCATCAATGTTATATCTCAGCCTTCTAAGTGACTCTTTCCTGAGTAAACTTTGTTCGTAATCCTGACTATAACATTACAATAACTCTTAGGTTATTGTGAGATTAAAAACAATCTGATTCATCTTTACATTGTAGGATTAAGAACATCATTTATTATGTTTTTAGGATTAAGAACATTATTTATTATGTTCTTCATATACTTTAAAAAATGCAAAAATAATCATACTACTTTAATAAACACTAAAATTTGAAAATATGGATGGATGTTCTACTACTGAGCGCATATAAATGAAATTTGGCAAAGATAGATTTGAATCTGGAATAACAACACATGGGATTACTTTTAGCCTAGTACTGCAGTAGAAGCCACTGGCCAGAAATTAGTGAAAAATATAAAGTTCTGTAATAAAATGCAAGTTTTACGTTGTGTAATAAAACGTATGTTCATTCACACAACACGTGGTGCCGTGGTCACGCGCAAGTGATTCTAATAGTACGAGTATAAGTGTAGATTTTATCAAATGCATACATAACAGAGTCGTTATGTCTTCACATTCAACTCGATCTAGAGTTTATTTACCTAGTGCGTTTAATGTGTTTATTGTCATTTTTTTTGTTTCCATACAATTGAAGATAATAAACTGTAGGCAGATAAGACTGTTTAAGTATTCAAACATGTTCGATGATTGTAGTTTTTCTTACCTGCGTTTTAACAGTTGGAACTAGTTTCAGACATTACATAGACACCTTCAATATTTCCTTAACTAGAAATATTGTTGTAAAGCTTTAGGAGACGGGTACCAGGTAGTTGGTGATACAAAAGATCGTTAAATCTGTTTTTAACGTAGTTAACGTTAAAATGCAAATCACGCTTCTAATTGTTCTGCGAGGTGTGTAAAATAAAAGAGGCTGAATAGAAATTAAGCCCACTAGGTACCGGCATAACCTCAACAGTCGACAGCGTCCTTTTGTATACTAGCTTTGTTCACAGAATAAGCACACGTGCTAGTTGAAAATTATCCCATGCAAAAAATTGAAAAAATATCGGGAAGAATGTTGTTACGTGTATTATTTCTGACTTACAACTCACGAGTATTTAGCTTTTCCATCGCTAATTTACAAACATCCATATTTTTTTACCAGACGACTACCAGCCGAGCCTACCGATTTTAATTAATTTATTAAATGTTCGTTATAAACATTTCTATTTTTTTTTTCTAGACCAAGGAATCTAAGAAGGAGAAAGCAAAGAGTTCATCGTCAGAAGCTGAAGCGTCTTCGGGAGGATCCGGAGACGAAAGCAGAAGCGGTAGTGATTGAAACCATAGTCTTCTTAAACAATAAACTAAACATTTTACATGATACCTCGGATTTTGTAGTTAATCTCAACTTAAAACATTGTTTGACATACCAAAAACATCAAAACACCCTGAAATTTCATGTCTTTAGAAATCTGAGATACTTAGAACTGAATAAAAAATTTTTTTGGTTATTTTGAATCATTGTATGTGATGTGAATGTTATTTTCCGTGTTAATTATGTGTTATGTATGTTACTTAATATAAGCCAAGTCTAATATTGAAACTGTTATTATTACTCAACTGCATACGATTCCGAAGAAATTCCCGCCATTTCATTAAATTCCTTCTATCGTAGAGAATTAGTATTTTGTGTATGTGATATTGTTGTATTATTACCATTCAATTAATGTGAGTTGAGTATTTAAAATAATTTTCTTACATAAATGTTTTAAAGTTGGTAAAAATTAACATTACTGAGTAAATGTTAGGTTATGTTTCTGTCTCAATTATACATTTGTCAAATACTATTTGTGTGACAGTGATAGAGATAAGGCTAAGCCAGAACTTTTGTATCTGACTCCCATGTAAATATATTAACTAAGATCAGTTGTGATTGTCCTAAAATTCGTATTACGTGGTATGTGAACGTTTAGCCCCATTTTAGATGTAATACTAGTGTGTTAATTGTTATTATAAGACTATATTTTTATTTGTTGTTTTATTTTACTTTATTCGGCTGTATCATGATTCTTAACCGATTCATTATGAGATAAGTATTAGGTAATATTAATAATTATATCTCTAGGTAATAAAAATAATAAGAATCTATTCTTAGTCAAGTTCAGGTAAGAGCCATGTTTAAAGACAAATATGTTAAGCCAAAAAGTATTACAAAAGATATGGTAAAACAATAATAATTGCACCCAGAGCAGTACAAAAGTATAACCGTTACTTTTAACTACAAAGGTGCATCGGGGCTCAGTGGCGTCGCTTCCCCTAGGCGCGTCGTATAAAAAGTTATAAAACGCGCCTATACTGAACTAAAAGTGTGGGGTTTGTGCCGCAGCGAGAAACCGTCCCGATGTCGCCCCTTTTTTACAGAGAAGGGTCCTAGAGCTATTGTATCGTCCGGTTGATTCCCAAGAAGAGCAATAAGCGAGCTTTGCGGTAGGTTTGGCAAAAAAGAAAGTAAAAACTGACAGGTCTGTCCCTTCGGCAAATCGCAGTCGGTCTTCAAATTTATATATATTTCTAATAAAAAAAAGTAGTCAATTTAACACTAAAAAAATGCAGTTTAGGACTAATTAATTTAATATTATGTATCTAAAAGGCAGGTAACCTAAATAAGTAGTACGTATTTGTTTTATTTGAATTTAATTAAAACTTAAGCACCCATATCTATCTCTACGTGCATAAACCAGTTAAGGAAAATGCTAAACAAAAACATAGAAATAAAGTGCGTCTGTAAATGAATAGGTAAACAGTCATATTATTCATTTATGATGCAAAACGTTATGTAGTAGCTAAATATAGGCAAAACAAAGGCTAACAGAAACATGGCTCAATACTTTTAAAAATCGAACTTCTCTTAAATTTATTTTGTAACTGGAATAGAAAACAGCTTATCACGTTGAATTAAGAAACTTATCATGTAGTAACATAACAGGTCAACCTTACTTCAGTTGGCGCTCGTTTAATCGGTCAGCACAATGATAACTTGATATCAACACGTGTCTGCGCTTTTTATGCATTCTTGCACTACAGTTCTGTATCACACAACATCCTATTCAAATATTTATGAATAATATTTATTTGTAGGTATATCTAACCTATGTTCAAGCAATAGACGAGGAATAAAACTTTTCGTTTTATTACAATTCGTTCAATGAGCCCATACCAAGAATTTTAATCTCATACCTATGACCTTATGACTAAGTAAGCGTCGCTTATGTTTGGCTTTAAAAGGCAAAAATACACAATCTGATTAATCCAACACTAGATAGGAGTCTACCGAAATGATAACTAAATATTCTTATAAACAAATTACTATCGTTGTAATTATCAAATCAAATGAATTGCAAGAAGCAACAAAATGAAAGGACCTTGTAACGGTCGTCTCTATGTGGGAACGCAAGGCAAGGATCTAAAAAAATGTTCTCATGTCATGACAAAGTCTATTAATAGGGTTGGTTAACTATTGAGCTCTTCGTCGCACGGTGTATTAAAGTTTTATAACCCCAACCCCTCAGAAAGTAAGGCTTTATAACAAATGGCTAAGTATTATACTTAGGTATTCGCTAAAGGAAAAAATGCATTGATATTATAATGGACAGCGCATGGCACGGCACGTAAACAACATGAGCGTCGCGTGTCGTCACAAAACCAGTAAAACCTGATCCGTATCGAATATTAAACGGGGAGTAAAAGAGAGGCCACGCTTTATTTCCGCTCTTCCATTATACTTACTTTGCAAATTCGAAACGATTTCGAAAGAGTCAATCATGATTGTTTTACTGTTCGTCATAGTAAGGTACTTAGGTAAATACGTTTTTTTGTTTAGATAGATATTTCAAGTAAATAGGTAGATAAGTACCTAGGTACTTAGTACTTTATCATTTAGAGTATTTTATCAGATTACATACTGCAGCAGTCATCAACATGCGTATGAATTCAAGTTGCAAAGGTATTTTAGAACCTATTTTTATGAGCCAATATTATTTAGAAAGTTAGTTCGCACTTACTGAGTGCCCGCTATGTAAATACCCACTGTACCGCGCCGAAGAGGCGATGGACAGCAGTAGCGTTGTCGGCGACCGTAAGCACTGACTCCCCGGTAACAATGCGGTCAATCACCTCGGTAAATACAAGGTGGTGAATTGGACTGTCACTTGCATCCTTTTTTGGAGAGATCTCTCTAAAGGTGTAATTGCTGATATTTTAATGTAATAAAACAATGAGTTTGTCATACATTTCTGAACAAACAAAGTCTATAAAGACAGTAATAAGCCAAGTTCATATTATTATTATTAGGTATGTACTTATTAACTTAGTAACTAATACCGAGATTGATGTGAATGCCTCTAAAGTATTAAAACATTCTTATTATCAATGTTTCTGTCCAAGTACCCAGATGGACCATGTACCCAGATGCTCCGTCAAACGAGAGCCAACTACCAACTACCGAAGACCTTTTCAAGACATTCCTGAATTCTCATCTTTATTTTTATCATTTAGAAAATTCTCTATTTAAAGGAAAAAACATTTGCTTTATGTTACACCCCTGATTTCAGCAGCAGTAAGTAATGTTTAAGCTGGTTTGTCAGTGTCCAAGCTTCAGTAAGCAAAATATTTAATAAAGGACATTAAAAGAGGCTTGCAGAGTCAAAGATATAATTAATAGGCGATCAAATCTGATCTGACCAACGGCGATCTTAAATATTTAACATAGGCCTACACCAACAGCGTTTTCCAAACTACGGGAGCCGGGTAAGCCAACAAATCAAAATAACAAAATACAGAAATTCTATGCAGGTACATATTTAGATGTATGTATACTATGTAGGAAACGAAAATGCAGTGTTATCTGGCCATAGTAGAACAATCTTATTTAGGTTAACTACTACTTAGTAGATTACCCGAGACTATTGATGATTCAAGCTTAGGCGTTTTAAGCGATGATTATATTAAATATCATCAATATTATTTTAAAAATTGATGATATAAGACTCAACACTGATAGCAGAACTATCGTTAACGCTACATAGTATAAACAAAGACCCTTTCTCTGTCCCTAGATCCCGGTGTATGCTTAAGTCTTTACAACTACCTTCGCAACGGATTTTGATGTGTTTTTCAATAGATATAGTGATTCAAGAAGAAGGATTATATGTCGGTTTAATAACATCCATTAAATAGTGGAGAAATTAAGTATCAGCATTACACCCATGCGAAGCTGGGACGGGACGCTAGTCATCGTATAAACAGCGTCATCTGCTGGTTATCAAAATTATGTGGGACATTTATAGGTCTCTGGCTACAGTTGTAGACATCATAAATTTAAAACAATACGATACCTATAACAAAGATTGAAATTGTTAATTCCTAGTAGAATAAAAATATGTAAGGCGAAAACTACTACAACCATAAATTAGAGCTTTCTCTTTTTATAGGGGGAAATCAACGAATGACTCCTCTACCCTAGACAGAATGAGTACCAGACTCATACAGTCATACTGACTTAAATCCACCCCGTTCCAACGCCTGCTCCGACCTGATCGCGGTATGCGTCATAACGCTTGACCAACATCCCGCTACTAATTAACCAAAGCGTCATGTTTAGGTACCATTTGGTTCCTTCAGGTTAGAGTTCCAGCATAGTTTAAGTGGCTTAATAGATAAGTACCTTATTGCAGGAAAATAATTCAGTCTAGTACTCTGAGGCCTAACGGTACTGCCGTAAATTATATACTTATAACAATCTGTCATTAGATTTTTAGATCGACATACCTAGCAGTCAATCGCAAATCTTTTCTAATTTCAATCTAAAACTTTCTTGATTCAGTTTATGGTTTACAATATTCATAATATATAGATGCCTACATACTTAAATAACCAACAGTGACGTTTGTAACTTCCCCAATATGTACACTTACTAACTGTTTACGTATGCTCTACCCACACTATCATTTAATTAAAAAGGAAATTACGGTGGGTACCTACCTTATTTCTTCAGACAATCAATAAATTGACGTTCTTCGTTGCCAATGTAAACAAAAACAAACAAATACCGTTCTCAGTAACTTCAATCCTTCTACCTACTTACAAATTATTTTGATCATTTACTTTAAAAACTTGTAGCGTCATCTTAGAATATACATAGTACTTATGTAAGGAATTTAGAAACGCCGTTGTATTGCTCAGTACCTAGTTTTAAGAAAAGATAACGTAATGAGTTGTAATTAAACCTACAAATATGACGCGAATAGGTAGGTATAAGAAAATAAAAAGAGAATCTTACGACCAATAAACAATATCAAAATCTATCAGCCTATTAGGCACCTAAATGTAACTAATAATGTCGATATGTTAGTATTTCTTTTCATCGAATATCAGAACTAGGAACTAAGGTATTTACGAAATTTTAATGCATATTTATAAAAATTACATCTAACTTTTTTGACAGTGTCTTTCAATATTGTTATATTGTGTATTCTCTAAGTTTATCTTGTCGTATTCAACAATGTATTTTAGGTATATGACCTTAAGAACTAGGGACACCACACCCTTATATCTTTGAAAATAAAAACTATTTCTCAAGTTCCCACGAAATATCAAATCGTAAACAAACGTGCTGCCATTCAAGCGCTATGTTTTATTGGCGTCCCTTTCCCGCTAACGTTTACCGCGCTTTTTACGTTTTCGAAATCAACGTTGGCGGCATTTAAAATAGGGCGCGAGTTCATTTCGATAGGAGTCTTGTGTTGAGTGGACTGGGTCATTTTTTGATATACTTATTTTGTAAGTATGTTAATTGTAATTATTAAAAATATTTAGTGTAAGTTTTCTGACCTTATGATGTCAAAATCTAATCATTTCTATGCGTATTTTCATCGAAATACGACGAAATAAATTTCTAAAGCAAATGTTCTAGCTCGATACGTCTCATAGAAAGTAATCTGTACTGCCTAGTCTTAAGGTTGAAATTTCAATGAACAAAGCAATCGATACGTCACGGATATACGTAGTACACGATGCTAAGCCGTTGCCGTGCGGTTGGTACAATCGTATAGACGGACCAATCACAGTCGAGATAGATGTCGCTTTTGAGCCGACGCGAGTCGACCCCAAGCTAGCTTGCTCTGGGAACATTTGCTTCGAGCTCCATACATTTTCTTCTGGTTCTCTACGTCTATAGTTTGGTTGTGCACCAGTTCAAAAATAATTTCAAAATTTTTGCCCTCAGGTAAGTACAGTTATTTTTCCAATCAAAGTAAAGTGTTTTAATAAGTGTATTAGTGTTTCTTAAGGCTGGATTCATTGAAATAATTTTCATTCCACGTTGGAATTCGCATTCAAACATGGCTATAGGCATCGTCGTACTTTCCTTAGTACGCGTGGGTATGGGAAGGACGCCTTATTTCAATAATTAATTTCTCGGATCTTTACTATTAAGGGACAGGAACAGTTCTTCCATAAGTTATAGCTAAATAGTCGTCGGATTATTTGGTAATTAGGTCATCTTTAGTTATTGCGTATTTTCAACACAATCCGTGAAAACAAAATGGTTCTTTCGACCCAAGCCTAGGACAGTGAACTCGTTGTATGGCGAGATAACTATTTTTGTTAATAACTACATCTTTTTATGTGTTTTTATAGTGATTGTTGTTGTATTAAGCTAGATTTTTGTTATATTAATACTGGAATTATTATATTTTCGTCTTAAAGACGCGTTAGCGTGTTTCCCGCCAAAACGCCGCCCTACTGTGCCATATAAGCAGCGTGAAGGCTAGTTACCGATCGGATTCTTCAAGGCATTGCCTGCGTAACCTGTTGCCATGTATTTCTCAATAATTAATTAAAATTTCTTTTGTTCGTTTGCAGGAAAAAAGTTAAAATGACGGACAAGCCTAAGCGTCCCATGTCAGCTTACATGCTGTGGCTGAACAGTGCCAGGGAACAGATCAAGTCTGAGAATCCCGGCATGAAAGTCACCGAAATTGCCAAAAAGGGTGGCGAGATCTGGAAATCGATGAAGGACAAATCTGTAAGTAGGATTTCGTCATATAACACCTATTGCCTTTGTTCGTTGTAAGTTATCTAATATCCATATTTTTGCCAAGGAATGGGAGGAAAAGGCCGCCAAAGCCAAGGAGCAATACGCGAAAGACCTTGAGTCATACAACGCCAACGGAGGAGGTGGCGAGGGTGGCGGCAAGAAGGCACAGAAGCGAGGAAAGAAGGGCGGCAAGAAGGCGGCACCTGCTGTAAGTATCAATGGCGTTATAACGTATGTCTGTGTTAACGCATTTCTTTGTGGTAAGCACAAACTAACTTCTTGTTTTTATTTTAGAAATCCAAGAAAAAGAAGGAGGAGTCAGAAGATGAGGATGGTGATGAAGAGGAAGAGGAAAGCGAATGATCTCCCAACTTAATACGACATTACTGTTCATATTGAATAATTTACTTGGACTTAATTTATTACAAAGTAAAATGGGACTGACTTTCCAAAGTCTGTATGACATTTCACATTTTTTTATAATTTTTACAGAGTTGAATTTATTAATTTTTTTGGCTCATGTTTCTGATGCATTATAACAGTAATTTTGGTCTACACATGAAATTGTTGATGTTTCAGTGTGTTGTTTATCTACTACTTATGTTTTGTAGTATTAATAATAATGATAGATGTATGTTAAGAGCATTGCAGAGTTTGGAAAGTTCTGCCGCTGGCTAGGGTCTAGGTTTCTAAGCCTCAAAAAAAAATAATGTTTAAGTGTTAGCATGTATACACCGGGGAATTGTACAGTTAGCCCTCCCTCGTTAAGTTCGCTGTGACTACTGGATGCTCACTTTAAGATGTGTACCTCAACTGGTTTCATCAAAACTAGTATGTCTGCAATATTACCTGATTTGCTGTATAACATATTTATGTTAAAGCTGTGCTTTGATTTAAATATACCATATTTTTTAATTAACTGTGTATTGATAAGTTGTGTGCATTAATTTTGGACATAGAAGTTTTGGTCAGACTATACCAATATGTAAAATTAGAGACTATTTCATAAACGTATGTGGCGGCTTATTGTTAATTATAAACCTACCTCTTCTCATTGTAAATTTCAATGCTGATAATGGTACCAAACTCTAAGCTAAGATCCCACTTAGGAAATTGATGTGTATGTTGTATTTTTAGTTAGTTAATAGGTAGGTTTTCGATGTGATTTGTCTCTCAAATTTTACATTTGTGTTATTTTGTAAATGAGAATTAGCATTCCTCATGTCAATACGGATTTTACATGTTCAATAAAGTAATTTCATATAAAATATTCTATTTTTCAATTTGTCTTTTCATTCTTCTTCATATTGTCACTTCTCTTTTTAATTTACTATTCTATTGCTAAATAACCTAAAATTAGGATTGATTAGCCTTGATTCTCTACCAATGTCGCTGTGTCCCTGTCAAAATGACCGACATTAAAGTGATGCACGTGACGAAGTAGGTACCGCGTGGCAAGGGATGGCCGTGCCTAAGTGCGCCACGTAGGCGCGACAAACTAGGAGAAGTATCTTTGACCTCTATTTACTATACGTTTACATAAATATTGTTTTGTTTGCAAAACAACGCTATTCATAAGTTATTGTAGATTTGGATATTGACATTATCGTTGTAGGTATGCGACCATTTTTTATTACACCGATGTTCAATCAATAACAAAGGTGCTTCGTTCATTTTTAGCATCCCCAGAATAAATTCATAGTTGATTGCATAATAAATACATAGGAACTTAAGTTACTCGACACCCAATATCTGCTTTTAACTAAAACATAATCAATAACTAGGTACCTAGCTGATTGGCGATTACCAGACTGATGCAAAAATAAAAGTTTACGAGCCAATCATAGCTATGCCCTATTTAATTGATGTCAAGCAACGTCATAATTCTATAGCGTCACTGGGGAGGGGTCGATTCGATATTGATATAAAGCTGAGAACACACTTATATTTAAAGTCATATTAACAATAAAACTGGAACTAAATTGGTCGACCTAGCCTAACGTTACCGAGCGACGACCAAGTTTGGTGAAGAAGTTTGTTTGTGTTCTTGAAATCTTCTATTCGCAGCTGTTGTTTAGTAGAGATGTATAAGAGTAGCAGACGAGACCTTATTCCTAGTTTAATACATCATTATTTATCCTTCTTCTATCACGTTATAGAAATAAATGTATTTTTTAGATAAATATGGTGAAGTGAAGTGCAGTTATTACCGATGTGACAATGATAGTTAAAAAAAATTGGAATAAAAATTTATATATCATATGCATTTTAGAATAATAATATTTCTCGATTTTTGAAAATTAATTACTTCGATAACGTTTAGTCCTTTTTATCGTATCCTACACCGTATGCTAATAATAAATTGAGCAAAAATAAGATAATTATAAGACATAAAAAATTAATTATAATAATATGTAGGTATTATGAATTTAAAGCATAAAATAGAAATGAATATTACTGTTCAATGATGTTAAATATTGTAATTAATTAAGCATAGGTCATACTCATATAAAATGTACTCATATTATTTTTTATATGTCAGTGTGGAGCATAAAAAACTTGTAGGGTTTTAACACTACTAGTTTTTTAGTAGGTAGTACTTTAGTACTAGTTAGCTTCACGATTTTTAGCTTATGTTTCATCTGCTATTGTAACATATCTGTGAGAAAGCGGTATCGTGTAAATTATCCTTTAGTGCGTGAAATTCTCGATAACCTCACTGAGGTTACAAACAAATTTGACATATCATTCCACTGTCAATGTCAAATCACTTTATTTTCAACTGTCATTAAATATATTGTTACAAACGATCCCAAAAAATAAAATAAATAAATAAACAAGATATCGACTAAAAGCATTTTACACAACAAGAAATTGTACGATTTTAATTAGTTAAGAATAGAATTTTAAGCCTTCGAATTAAGACATACATGCCGTAAAATTTATACTTATTCTGATCTGTCCAAAAGGTAATTTGAGGTTATGGGTTGCGAATAAAATATTTTGATATCATTAATGTTTTCAGTTAGTCATAGAACATGTGTAGTAAGTGCAGGTATGTCGGGGGATGGCAGTGGTGGCGGGTCGGCGGTGGCCCTAGTTACCGGCGGATATGATCATACAATCAAGTTATGGCAAGCACACAGTGGCGTGTGCCTGCGGACCATGCAACACCCTGATTCCGTAAGTCATTACCTACATATTCTGTTCATTAAATATTGGACAATGGGTATCCTTAATGCTATGCTAAGTAAAGCACTCAACTAAAAATCTTATTTGACTGCAGCAAGTGAATGGGCTAGAGATATCTCCCACTGGACAAATGGTAGCAGCGTGTGGCTACCAGCACATTCGCATGTATGACTTAGCCAGTGCCAATCCAGATCCTGTCGTTAACTTTGAGGGAATTACGAAAAATGTTGCCCGAGTTGGATTTCAAGTGAGTTCCACTATGATTGAATTAAAAGGACAGAATATTTTCAAAGAATTTTTGACCGTATTTAGCATCTATTTTATCGAGAAATTTTACTTATTCACCTTGTCATATATTCATTAATGAATAAACAAATAGAATAAACATTTTTTTTGAAAACATTTATGGACTGATACAAAAAGAAACCATAACTAAAAAACAGCCATAACCAAGCTTTCTTAAACTGGAACTTATTTTATTTTTAGAAAAATGATCTTTGGATGTACACTGGTGGTGAAGATTGGACAGCTAGAATATGGGACCCAAGGTAATAAGGAAGCCAGTTTAGATTGAGACTGGCCTTTGATAATTTTTGTTACATAAATGTAACACAAAATTTTTGAAAAAATATAAAATTGGGGCACAGCGATGGTGTTGGTGACACTAATTAAATGATTGCTAGCAATAGTAGAAGATAGAAAAACAATTACCACTAAAGAAAGTATAGATAGAATAAATAACATAATTTAAATTAGAATATAAATATGTTCTAGGGCAGCACCACAGTTTCGTTGCACAAAGATATTCCAAGTTCAAGCTCCAGTTAACACTGTTACATTGCATCCTGATCAAACACAGATTATGGTGGGGGACCAAAGTGGCATAATACACATGTGGGACCTTCGGACTGACCAGAACGAACAGCTGGTAAGGAACCAATTACAATATGAGATAGATAAAAAACTTATGAAAGTAACAGCATTTTGAAAAATCAATACTAGTTTTATTTGAACCTTGAGTTATAGAAAGATTATATTCAATTCATTTAGGGAACCAGGACTTATCTGTATATACTAAAGTCACAGACAATAACTGACTTGTAATATTTATATAGATACCAGATGCTGAGGCGTCAATACAAGACATAGCAATTGACCCAGAAGGCAAGATGATGGCTGCAGTGAACAACAAAGGCAATTGTTATGTGTGGTCACTAGGAGGCACAGCCCCACATCCCGTGCCACTTAAACACATTGTGGCACATTCTAAATACGCTCTTAGATGCAAGTTCAGCCTTGATTCCACGTGAGTACATTCGAAATACTTTTATTGTGTATAAAAGTCTAATGTTGTATTATTGAACATTTGATTTCGGATTTAATTAAAATTCTGTTCATAGAAGAGTTTCCGAGATCAAATAAACAATATTTCCAGGATGTCCTTGATTTATTTACCCTAATCGATGTTTATATAAAAATGTTATCCAATTACGAATTAGAATTGGTAGGTACTTACTGCTTGTCAGGGTTGCGCTTGCGAGTTTATTTATTTTGATATGAATATCACGTACATATAAATGTCACGTAGCCTGGATGATATTCATTAAATCAATCACAAAAAATAGAATTACGAGCCTAACTACAAAAGTTAACTTAACAAACTCAATAAAGTTTCAAAACTCGTTTCGACATGCAAAAACCAAATTTGAAAGTTTGACAACTGCTTAGAAGTGTTGCCAACTTATAAGAATGATCGTGTCAAAGCAAAATAGTAAATTGATGATGATGATTTAATATTTTGTATTCTTCACCAGAATGCTTGTTACCACGTCTGGCGATTGCTCAGCAAAAGTGTGGCGAACTAGCGACTGGACATTGCTGCGGGAACTGCGCAACGACACACAACGGTGGGTGTGGGATGCAGCATTTAGTATCGACTCACGATACCTATTCACGGGTAAGTCAAAACTATTGAAACTTCATGACATAACTCTTAGGTATGCTTATATTAGTCTGAATATTTCTCATTTATATTTAGATTAGTGCGACCTATACACCCTTACAGTAACTGATTTTTTTATTTATGCTCTAGGTTCCTCGGACAGTTACGCTCGACTCTGGGACGTAGAAAAGGGCACGCTAGAAAGAGAATACTGCGGACATCAGAAAGCCATTACTGCTCTTGCCTTCAGAGATCAGGCAGTTTAGCAACTCTAAGCTATCCCTACGTAAAACGGGGTGAATAGAATTTGAGGGGTAAATAGATATTATCGAATTTTCCTTGTATCTATTCACCCCTCGGTCTCTATTCACCCCGTTTTACCGTAATTAATAATTTTGTACATGGATTATTTATAGCGATTATTGCTTTACATAAGTGTCTGATTAGGTAAATTGCATTTATTAGTGCCATTAATTTCCAGAATGGTGTACGGAAAATGGTCTGTAATTTAACCAGTTCCTTTTAACCCGACAGTTACGAAGGGTTATTTGTTATTGCTATCGTATCTTTATATTTTTTTAACTGCCATGTTCTTTGTCAAAATGAGTTATCAAGGGCCTTTCACGTTGTTCAAAATAAAATGTTAAATAATACACAGGTAACTTTATCGGACTTTGAAGACCCTAATTCTAATAAGTAAGGTTACTATCTATTTATAGAATTTGTAACTGATCCTGAATTGAATTTATAATTTTGTACGAAAAAATAATAACTGCAAATATCTGAGTGGGTAGATACTGTTGCATTTGTATATTTGTAAATAATGTCTTACTAGATTAGCGATATGTTCTTATAAGTTTCAACATTTTGTACTTGAAAATACTTACATACTTTTATACGAAACAAAGCCAAATATCATAATTGAATCGCACAGACAAAGATTATCAAAGTCTTCATTTAGATGTGTATGCGACTTCAAGTTTGAATAATTGTACGTGCGACGCCAGTTACGCCGATGGCGATATCCAGATCATAACTAAGTAAATCTCATGATTGACGCTTGTGCTCTTTAGTTCCATAATACTTATGTGTTCGATGCATTTACTATGTAAATGAATTACAATAAACTTGTAGTTAATAATATTATTTTATAAAATAAAATACTAAGTTATAAATGCAGTTTTCATTTAATAAATAAGATATTAGTGCCGATCACATAATATACAAAATATTGAAGCTTAGTTTATTTGTTACCAAGCTAATGGATGGAGAAAATATATAATTACACATTTGAAAATAACATAAAACATTTATTGTAGGGTTATATTGCACTTTACGGTTCATGGTGGTGCTTCAACACAAACATTATCCTAATTCTTGTACATACGGTTGCAACATAAGATACACAGTAAGTACGCCCCCAACCTTCCTTTATTACAAATATACTAATATAATACTGTGCTAGTTACAGATCTCAGTAAACACTGCAATGCTTTTATTTTCCTAACGATTTCACTTTATAATCACAACTTGTAAAAATGAGACCTAATAAGTACACAATATAATTGAATACAATAAGTACATAATGGAATGTTAAATAAATGCTTTTTCCGATAATTATAATTCAATAATAAAATTCTCGACTAGAAACAATTATACATACATTCAATTACACGAAATTTTATAATATACATATCACTCAGTCAAAAATAAACAAAGTACGTTTGTCTGTACTTGATAGTTATCCTACTGACGCTGAGAATCATTCGGTATCACCGTTACAAAGCTTTAAATCCGGTACATAATAAAGCATTCAGCGATGATAACTATGGATTGATGTTTAATGAACACACTATACTTGGTCTAGCGGCAGATCTTTGACGTCACCGATTTCTGAGCAAGTGTCGTCATCACACGTGTAAGAGATGACGAAGCGAAGGTCGACTGGTGGCTTGGAAGCAGGCCTGCCTATCAACATGACCTGAGTGATGGCTGGCGGCGGCAGAAATGGGTTGTACTGGGGCAGAGTCGTCCCCGACGGCGTAAGCAGGCGAACTTTACAGCACTGTAACATGTTAAAATTTGTTTAACTACTGTTTTTTAGTATATAGGTTAACTCTTGATCAATTTTCTCAACAACTCCGAAATTCTATTGAAAAGTTATTTCTAACTAATTATGTAGTAGATACAATACGGTTGTTTCCAACTAGTCAAATTCAATACTTTTATCCCAATGTTAAAAACAATACTTTTCTATGAAAATTGTATGAAACATTGAATTATGACGTCATAGCATTTTTGTGTCAAATAGCTTACTTATTTTTAAAAAATATCTAAAACTTAGTGTATTGATTGATCGATGAATAAAAGTATAGTTATTTTTCAATATTTTATCGTATTAAAACGTCGAATTAATTTATTTTTGAGCTAGGAAACTACCCAATTGTAAATATGAATGCAATGTAACATACCTTAGGAACCACACCTTGAAACCTAAAATCTATAATAGGCTTCTTATTTTTGTTCGTCGTAGATATCACTACAACGTTGACGTCAGGCCTTGGTTTATCTTTGCAGAAGTGTAACACTACTGTCAGACCGTTTTCCTCCTCAAATATAGTCATTGGAGGAACATTGCCTGGGGTTACGTTAGACAAGGACACATCTATATCCGTCAACGGTTTCACTTCAGTTTTAGTCTTTTCTCTCTTTTCATCGGTCGATTCGATACTTTCAGTGGGGGAAGCATTCTTAGGTTTGGTTTCTTCTAGAGATATACCTAAGTCCAATATTTTATCAATGGGGGATTCTGTGAGGTTTGTTGTCAGTACGCCTGAGGTGCTAGGTCCGTCAGTGATGTCTACGATGACGTCATCAGGCGGTGATGGTGGCTTGCTCAGCACCTTCGCTGGCTCTGCAGGTTTGGCATGTTCCTCCGACTTTTTGGTAAAGAAGTCTAAGTCGAATAGTGCGCCGTTAGTTGTTGTTGTTTGTTGGACCTCGTGTTTGGGCGATGATAACGCGTTCATTGGTATTTTCTTGGATATTTTACTGTAATAGAAGGTTATATTATTATTAGAATTGTAACATTTTGTGTGAATGATCAAGGTAATTTCATGAATCTTTGTTTGTTTTTGCCACAGAAAGACATTGAGGTACCATATGTAAGGATATTGAGAATAAGGTAGCTTGTGGTACGTGTAGATACACATTATTAATACACTGTTTAATTTTGATCAATCTTTACAAATATTTCTTATTTATACTAAAACTAGCGACACGCCCCGGCTTCGCACAGGTGCAATGCAAATACTAAATTGCCTCAAAATGTCATAGATCTTCTTATACATATAAACTATCCTCTTCAATTACTCTATTTATTTAAAAAACTCCGCATCAAAGTCCGTAGTTGCGTAGTTTTAAAGATTTAAGTGTACATAGTGAGAAAGTGACTTTGCTTTATACTGTGCAGTGATTTTAAAAATGTACGCTTAAATCTTTAAAATCACTAGGTAAAGGGACAAAGAAAGCAACTTTGCTTTGTATGTATGTATATACAAATATTTCTTTTGTCAAGGGAAAATCATCAAATGACTTCTCCCGCCCAGGGTAAGGTGAGAGAGTATCAGACTCTTACTGACTGAAAACCTCCCCCTTCCTTCTCCTGTTTTAGGTCGAGGCCGCGGTGCCATGCTTCGGCACGAATGGGTCGGCTCGACCGGAGTGATACCACGGCCTCACAGAAAACCGGCGAGAAAAAACAACAGCGTTGTGTTTCGCCGTGTGAGTGAGGTTACCGGAGGCCTAATCCTTCCCCTCCCCCAATCCCTCCTCAATCCCTGAGTCTCCAAATCCCTAATCCCTAAAAGGTTGGCAACGCACTCGTAACTGTAACTCCTCCGTTGCGGGCGGCGCTGATTGCTTACTATCAGGTAATCCGTCTGCTCGTTTGCCAGTACCTAGCTGGATCATTTGATATGATAACAAAGTAACTTACCTATTAAATCCTTCCAGCCTTTTGATATGGTCAGGTAGGGACTGTTTGATGAGTTGTTCTCCAAGTGAATCCAGTTCATTCCAGCCTTCAGCTTTACTCGGTTTGTCTCCTAAAAGGTCTACGTCCTCTGCAAAGTTTAAAATTCAAATTAGTATTTTATCAAAAAGCTATAGAAAGTTTCTATAAATTGACTTTTTGGTCAGAGAGAACATGCTTTCATTTAATGGTTACTAGACCCCCCCTCCCCCCCTCTAAGCACGGGTCCAACCATCTCGCTAACAATGAAACCCTTTTTCCCCTGTACTTTTCTCATATTTTCTTTCATAAGAAAGAAATTGGTCCAGCCGTTTTTGTCCACACATTTTGCAATTCATTTTTATATTATAGATAAGTACGGTTTATTTCCAAATTCTTAAGAAGGGTAGAGACTGGTGGTTCTTAAAATATCCTGTTCCGTAACTAGCGATATATGTATGAATGAACAAGAGCAGCAAAATAGCTGAACTTTATCCGATAGAACACAGATTTATGAATGCGGGATAAAATATTTTCCTACAATTAAGGGCTGATCTTCAATAGTCAGATAAATGTTATCTGAGGAATAAAATTGTTGCTGTCCCTGTGTTATACAAACATTCTGACGCGACAACATCATAATTATTCCCTAGGTAACTTTTATCTAACCATTGAAAAATCAGCCCTAAATTTGAGAAATTGTAATAATTACCACTAGGCATCAAGTTGACAGGTTTTAGAGGTTCCACAATGCTAGCATCGCTTCCAGTCGAGAATATATCTCCTAATTCATCAATTGCAGTACTTTTGGAAGTGCTAGGTTGCACTGTGGCATCGTCTCCCTTCCCCGAGTTACCGGCGAAGTCCAGCAAGCTGTCACTGTTTGAACCTTGCGCTTGATCCGTACTTGAAACTTTGGCATTTGGATTTTTCTTCTTCTCCTTCGTATACTTAGAATAGGCGTCGTACTTTTCGAAGACTTCGTCCAAAACTTCGCTCGCGTGTAGTATGTCATCTAAAATATCAAAAAGGAGAGAAAATTAATGTGCGGTGTGGTTACAAACATACAACGAAATGTATGTTTGTAATACCACCGCACCCACGACACAGGAGAAAATCCTAATGTGGGGCAATGTTATTAAAAAAAATCTATTCTATCTTAACTCTATATCTTATTACAAGCTTCTGTCGCGAGATTTAACTCGCTGCTCGGCTCCTAAAAATCGTAGCGTGATGATTTACAGCCCAAAGCTTTCCTCGATAAGTGTAATAATAATATATCTACAACAAACAGAAGTAAAACATATAAGAAACTAGTAAAGACATCGCGCTATCTCTTTCAGGCGTATTGTATTTAAGTAAAGACGTTAATCCGAATTTAAAGCAACATACAGAGATAACAAATTAAAATACTTAATAGATTGGATGAATCATTATTATGTGAAGTTGGATGTTTATAAATGCACCCGCGATACGGTTTTGTCAAAAATAGGTGATAGTAACATTGAAAAATGTCTGCAGACTAGATATAGATAGAAATAAATAGACCATTATATAGACATTAAGTCATAACTTAGTGATCTTAAGGTCACAAGTCCTGCCTACAACATATACACTTTTAGAAATTATCTAACATGATATTACTTAACAACAGATACCTCAGTTAGCTTGTAAAGAGCTTCAAGATAAGAACTACTGGGCAATCGTTGAGCTTATCACTTATCAGGGTGACAAAATCACATGTATTATCTGTGTGCTTTCGGCATACTGAATGGCAGTACGATTACGCACCTATAGTTGTGTACCTATGTATATAGTAGCCAGTTTACTATAGTACTATTTTATACCTATTGTTCTTGATTGAATGATGCAGAGTTTGAACTTCCTACTTTTAAGAACATAACATCATGCAACCAAGGTTCTTTATGGGATTATCCAGCAAACGAGGAGCCTTAATAATTATATTTACTTAGTTATATTATATTTCAAATTACGGCGTGACTGTCACACAACACTGAAGTCGCAAGTGCGTTAACGCCCTCACTTACACCTTGCTACTTGATTTAGGGATGGGGTGGTGAGAATGGGGCTTTTTTTTTTATTTGTTTGTTTTAAAAAATGTTGCCTCACACTAGGATATTCTCTACTGTTGTAAGTGGGTTAGCAAATATACACAAACCGAGTATGTATATTAATGAGCTTTTCTTCTTTCTTTTTTTATTCTTTCAGGCTATAACTAGTATGCTACACTAATCTCAATACAAATTAGACCATCCTAGACCTAGTAATCCAGCATAATGTGGATCAAGTCACTGAATTTTCACTACACTAAAAATCTACACCTATTATAAAGAATTACTCTTTTTAAACTAGTGTAATTTAATTCAAGGCTTTACTAACTCTGATCATAGAGTAATTAAAATACTAGACTATTGTTTATACACATTTGTTGTCGATCTACCTGCATAATGCGTTGAACGAGCCCATTTCCCGTTATATGCAGATAAGCCTTAATGTGATGTAAACCTCAATTAGTATGACTGTTATGTATAATTAAATTCTGACGATTCTACTATGTAATAAAGATTCTGAGTATGGGCAGACGATTGGATATTTCTTTTAAAAATTATGGAACAAGCTAGATTCCGTAAGCGGCTTCGCCCCCGTTGTATGTTAATAAAAAGTAGCTTTTGTCCTATTCCGGAATGTATCCTATGCCTGTGCCAAATTTCATCGAGATCCGTCTAGCTGTTTTGGCGTGCTTGAGTAACAAACATCCAAATATCGTAACTTTCGCATTAATAATATAAGTAAGATACTAAGATATAGAATAACACATATTATTATGCTACTTTAAATACTGGTACCACGAGCGAGGCAGTTGCTAGGAAGCTCGTCTATACTAATATTATAAAGAGGTATTTGTAAGTTTGTATGTAGGGGGTAATCTTTGGATCCGGTGGTCGGATGACCAAAATTCTTTCACTGATAGATAGCTGCAATGTTCCTGAGTGCTATAGGCTATAAAACATCACGCTACGATCAAATGGAGCCGAGCAGCCGGTGAAACCGCGAGGGAGTAGCTAGTTTGTCAGTATAAAGATTAGCCTGGCTCCTAAAGAGATTGAATCATCAATTAGAAAGGTCTCTCTTTTCAAGGGAGGAAAAATATTGAGAGAATTTCTCCTGAGTGTAGCGCAAAGGAGTTTCAAAAACTCTTACTGACTTAAAACCACCCCATTGGTCTCAAGCTCCGAGTCGTGTACCGTGTACACGATTACGCTTTTACAATGTTTCTGAGTGCTATAAGCTATATTTTATATGTGTACAGGAAGTAGTTTCCTTGGCACGCGGGCGACGCTACGTGAAACAGCTAGTATGATGTTTAAATGGATATTATGATAATGTGATGATATTGTCTGTAGAAATGTAGACAATACAGTATTACATTGGCTGACTAATAAAACTGTTAATTAGTGCTCTTTTTGGTTTAAGACACTTTTTATACTCATATCACTTATAGAGCATATATTTATAATAGCTGTAGACTTCAAGTTATTTAAAATATTTTTACTAAGACATTGTATTTTGTTAAGACAAACTACTACTACTACACAAAAATGAACATTATTTACGTCTACAAATAAAGCTTGTAATGTAGCAAATAAAAAGTAATGAAAATAATAAAAACAAACAGACAGACAGACAAACACAACACATATAACAATGATAATGATGGAAAGTAACAAACCGGTCCACTCACTGAGACATTCAGGTTGGGACTCGGAGGCAGCCAAGCGTTGGAGTGCCAGGCGGAGGGTCCCACAAGACATGTGGAGCTCATGTATCAACTGTTCTTCCTCTGGTGACGCATCTTCGGCGTTCGCAAGCAGTTCCTTAAGGAGTTCCGCGCTATCTAAAGCATTCCCCACTTCTTGGGCACGACGACTGCTCTCTTCATTACGACGCTCTTCCTAGGATATATAAAAAATCACTTATGACATTTAATATGTAATGTATAAACTACATAAGAGGATACTATATGTAATAATATATAAAAATGGTAAATATTCATAATGGTGTATTAATTTATATTTAATATCTTTACGATACACTTACAACAGTTAGTATTTCTTCTCAAATCATTTAGCATGGCAAAATGAATTAACCAATGATGTATAATAAAAGTTTAATGTTGTCTAGAATATATATTATCTACTTTTAAATTGTGTTATTTGGGACATTAATAAATGCTATTAAATATCAACTATCAATATATATATGTTACGGCTAAAGGTCGGTGTGAACGTAAACTTAAGATTAGCCGGCTAAACTTAGGTTTATCTTCGAGAAGCAGCTAAAGTTCGATAACATGTTAGTTTGCGTCGTGATATTCCATCTTTAGCCGGTTAATGTGCACATTAACCGAAACGAAACGGCTAAAAATGTATTCGATAGGCGCGCCGGGCCGGCGGAAGGCTTAAGGGGGTGCGGGCGGTGGAAGAAGTTTTATTTTGTAATTTTAAATACCTACAGAAGATTCTGTAATGACCAAATGGTTCCTTATTATTTTATTTTAATGATTAGGTTAATATTGTTTTAACGACGACACGTTTGGTCTAGTGGTTAGTAACGCTAGTCACAAGACCAAACGGTCGCGGGTTCGAATCCCGCTAGGGGCAGATGTTTGTGTGATGAGCACGAATATTTGTACCCGAGTCATGGATGTTTATTATATTTATGTATGTTTATCCGTTATCTAGTATCCATAGTACAAGCTTTGCTTAGTTTGGTACTAGGTTATTAGTGTGAATGTCAAAAAAAAAACTAATTAAAATACCTACATAGTACATAAAAGTATGTGTAATGAAAGTGATTATTTTTTAATAAAGTTTTCGTGTCTTAATAGTAAACATTATTACATTGTTTCCTTTTCCATTTCCTTCTACACTTTTAGCCAAGGACCTGCAGCTACACCTAAGTTTAGCCGGCTAAAGATAGAACAAACTAACATTAACATTTCGTCGAAGATAAACCTAGGTTTAGCCGGCTATTCTTAAGTTTAGGTTCACACCTACCTTTAGCCGTAACATATATATATAGTATTTATTACATCATCAGCCAATATTAATTTGGTTAAATAATAATTAATTTAAATAGTGCAGGGTACAAAGGTGGTCTTATTGCACATATCTTCATAGATATATCTTCCAGGCAATTGATTTGTATTATTAAAGTAATTATAATAACTCCATACTTACTTCCCTAACCATAGTTTTGATAAGCCTGTTGGCATGTTGGAGATCTTCAGGCTTTTTGCTCTGTAGCAACTTTTGTAATAACTTAGACTTTTCCTCATCCTCAAAGATTGCATTCTTAGCCCTATTTCGAGGAGGCACCACATCTTCAGGAGGTAAGGGAGGAGGCGTCTCTTTCACCACACCTTGGTTCTTCAGCATATCATATGCCACTTTAAACTTAGACTCCTTTGGATATTCAATTGACCATGCATGAAGTAATTGTAAAACCTAGAAAAATATAAATATATAAGTAAAAATATTATTATTATTTAATATTAATAAAAAAACACTATAAATTGATAATGTTTTGAAGTCAATGGATAAATTATTCATGAATTTGCCCATATCATTCATGAATACTTTTTCATTTTAAAATCCTTTATAAAAATGTTCAGTGCAATTAGTTTTATCACTGTATGGTAATAGGGTAAAATTTTGTTATCTACAAATTTGAAGTGCATATATTTTTTTAATCAAATTGTATGAGGAAAAGTATCTGAAAAATAGTACAACAGCATGTTCCATAACGAGCAATACAAGGACAAAGATTTTAACATGAAATACCAACTGTACAAAGTTAACACATGTTTAAGTTAAACAAACAAGTGAACAATTTAATTCTAACCCTATTCTGGTAAAGGTGAAACTTTGAGAGAATACACTGCCCTACGACTTATATAGAATTGTATAAGCTAAGTTGAGAATATTTTTAAAACAAATGTAATCTTACCCTTGTCCGTACTTCAGGTGAAGTTCGATCAGCAAAATATTTAGGCGAAACTAACTTAATCATTTCATTAAGGAAGCGAAATTTGCCGACTTCTGCGTGGAAGCCGGCATCACAACGTCGCATGCAGCGATCAAGCATTGAGAGAGCGAGCAGAGCCTCCCGAGCATTTGGAGTGTGTATGCGGGCCGCTAGAGCTTGTGCCGCCAGCTGCGCACCCTCCGCAGCGTCCTTCATCACCGCACAAAACGCTTCCAAAGCCGCAGCGTCCGGACATGGTAGAGATTCATGCGTAGCTTTTACTAAAATGAATAACAAATACATTCTCATTATAAAGTCAAAAGTATTTAATAAAACAGAATGAAACACTCAAATATTACTTACAAATTAAGGCTTCTAAACTGATTAAAGTCACGTTCATCTTTTATAATTAACAGGAAAACACTGTTTTCGTTTAATATAAATAAATTAGAATAAAAATTTTGTTTCATTTCGTTTCAGATCAAGTTGACATTTTGCTTTGTGTCAGAGTTGCAAGTCGAATGATCTAATACATAATATGGTTTTATGCTTGAGTGAATATTTCCTGAAAAAAAGATTTGTATTTACTAAAATTATTTAAATTATTAAATAAGTTTCTTGAATACTTAATTATTTAAAGTCCAACTGAAGACTTCTTTAATTACTGAATTTGGTCCAGTGTTTTTCAAATCTTGTTCGATGTATGGCAACTTACTGCCTAATTGTCATTTACTCATTTGGCTTAAAGAACTTGTATCCAGGCCATAAACTCCAACAAAAAAAAAACATTTACTCATTCACTTTGACATTGTTTGTCATATATCAGTTGTCACTTTGTCAGTCATTTGTCAACTAACAGACAAACCTCTGTCTGGGACTGCGGAAGAAATTATAGCTAAAAATAATCAAATCTAAAACAAACTTTGAATTTGAATTGAATTTCAACAAAATGGCTATTCTTCGATTTACTCGGTTGGTAGCGCAATCGAAAAATCTAACAAAGTTTGAGAACGTCGTACAAAGGAGGACTGCTACAACCACACCGACTGGTGCTATTTTGCCTGAACCAGAGAAGACCCCTGGTGGTCTTATAGGTATAGTGTTGGCCGTGGTGCCAGGCTTGCTCATCGGAGCAGCTATTAGTAAAAACATTGCTAATTTCTTGGAAGAAAACGAACTGTTTGTTCCTTCCGATGACGACGACGACGATGATTAAGATACATCAGGTACACTCATTGTGTATGTCTTCACGCTTCCATGTAGTGTAGTTTGATAACTATACTGTATTCTGCTTGTAGATTAAAGTATTATTTTTTATTAATTTTAACAACAATTTTGTTTCAGATAGTGTATTATTAATGCGGGTTTATAATAAATAAGAATCACATTTATTGTTATATTTTATTATAAGGATTGTTACAAAAACATTAAAATTTTGTGCTCAACATCAAAATAGCATTGTTCACAATACTTAAGAATTTTGTTTAATTTATGGATTTTATTATATTAAAAATCTCTTATTTACATGATTTACATATAAATACATTAAATTGTGATCATATAAAATAGCATTCTATATACAGCTACATTAAATATGCATCAATCAAATCTTGTCACAATAATAAATGCATTACAAAAAAAATGCATGTTTCATTTGTCAAAAGAGTGACACACAAGGCAATCTCAGCTAATCTAGTCAGAGGTTACTCTCACAAATGTAGCAATAAACACTTGTGCTTAATACTTCATATATGAATGTTCAATCAAATAAATGAAATAATGGCATGATTCAGTCTTTCATTTTTGACAAACCACTTAATTTTCTACTGCAATAATGATGTGATGAAGGAGAAGTAAAGTCAAGAAAATAAAACAAGAAAGTTTTTAACAGTTGCTAAAACATGAGGAGTGTAATTAATATCAACATTATACTCCCTTGTATTATGTCTATCTGGAAGCACATTAAACATTCACAATAATGATAACTTGTAATACTTGTTATAGCACATTTCTGTTATTGACACATACTGTAAACATGTTTATAAAAACTTCAAGACTTCAACGTTAAAACATATCATCTACTGAATACTGTTTCCATATAATAATGTTATTATGAATTTATGATGTCAATGTTAATCTTAAATATCAAAATAAGTCCAAAATGTGTTGAAGGAACATTATGTCTTGTCTTTTTAATAAAATGTGTGCCTCAATTTTACTTAATAACTAAAACTCACTCATAGAAAACTAGATATGGGTATGTCTAATGGTTTCTAGTCGTTGGCGAATGCAGATCTATGGTTTAATTTACTCGGGAGGCCTCTTGTGTTCTCCCCATCCATGGAAGCACTTGGTAAACCGCCGCGACTCCTTGTTCTTGAGAGTGAGGAAAAGCTTGCGTGGCTTGTCCGGTTGCATAGATTTCATGTGTTGGATGTAAACCTTGGTATTGAAAAAAACAAAGAAAAGTGGTAGGTATTTATTTAAATTAAAACTGTTAGAAATACGCGAAAATGACATTCATCTACGTTATTAGTATTATGTTTTCGTTGGAAACGTGAACTTGTCCCAATCCTACTCCCCAAATCCCCTAACCGTAAATTCCAAATAACCCACAAAAGGTCGGCAACACCCTTGTAGTAACGTCCTAGAAATAACGACAGCTCGTTTGCCAACGTTTTCCATAAAAAATGTATTATGGACCTTTGCTAATTGTTTTCAATACAAAATTGGTAGAATGATGAGAAAATTAACGTCAACCATAAGGCGGGTATCGATTAATAATCCATGTTGCTAAAAACAACAAGTTGTTAAAATTCTGGAAAACAAATAACACTACATGTAATAATTACCTGTGCAGATTTGTAAGCCAATTTTATCTCGACTTCGGAGCACTTGGCACCGAGCCATAGGAACACTTGGTCGCCGTTGTCTAATATCATTATATCGTCGTCAGCCAAATCATCCTAGACAAACCAATTTATTATTATTATATTATTCTTCACATATCATAAAAAATATTAATTGGAAAATACATACAATATCTGTTACGATTAATAGTCATTATTATTGGTTTTGTCTATCTAAATACTGCTATTAACAGCTAATTATCGTGAAAGTAATTAGCACTACTGTGTGGCGACATAAAAGGTAGTCAAGTAATGAAGCGGAATGAATAATATGATGCTGATAATATGCATCTATGAGTTTATTTATTGTTTTATTTCAATTTTTAGATATAGAATATAAGATCACAGAGATAAACAAAACCACTTATGCCCAGCTATATAATGGTTTAAAGAGAAACATTACCTGACAAAAATCGGTACATTTCTCGGAGACAGTAAAGTATCCTTTCTCGTTGGAGCATCGGAACAGCCTGGTGTAGTTGAGATAATCTGCATCGGTGTCGTAGGGCTTGCGGCCGCCAATACCCACCCAGAAGAAGTTGTCAGGCTCGCTGCCTTCTGTTATTACCTGTTTTTTTGGTATAAATTATTATTAATTAATTAATTAATGCATGCGCACCCACTACGCTCAACCGCATCTAATATGAAAACTAATCTTTTCGTTCGACGTTCACTTTTTGTTTTATTTCACTTCTGTAAAAACGAATTTGAAGGTCTCAACAGTTGTTTCATCTTATAGGAAAATTCATTAGAAAATAAAGGTACAGGTGCTGAATATTCCTTTAGGAAATTCTTTCTGCAGTTATTAAGTAGGAAAATTCAACACGACACAACATTGTAGGCACATTGTTGTGTTTTGTTGAATTTTCTTGTTCTCCAGTAACAATCATGCATGCATTGGTGCATTGCATTTTCCTACAAACAGGAATAATTTAATACAATACCATTTGGATGGTTTTCCTTTTTTCAAAATAAATACTATTTTTATTTCATAACCAATCATCATCATCAGCCGGAACCCGTCCACTGCTGGACAGAGGCAAGTTGCCACCTGCATCCATTGGCTCCCCGCGACTCTGACGATGTCGTCGGTCCACCTAGCGGGAGGCCTGCCCACACTACGTTTTCCGGTCCTTGGTCGCCACTCTAGTACTTTTCGGGGCCATCGGCCGTCAAAAAATCTTTATCATATATATATTCTCTCTATTTTTAATTATTAATATTATATATTACTTACTACACACTAGTCATCCAGATTTATGTGACAACTAGCATACATTTTCACATTGTTATTACCTGCAAGCTAACCCAAGGGTTGTTGAACTTCTCCTCAGCGATCTGTTCAATGAGTCGTGCGGAGTCTGCGTCACTCTTGCTGCCTATCCACGCGTATACGATGGCCGAGGACGTGTCGTTAGCGCCCTCTAGTGGCACGTTCAGGATGTAGCTGCAAAACCGACGAGTGTTACCATACTTTTTCTTATAAAAAGTCCACTAATAAACTAATAACATTCTCTATATAAAAGGTGTTTCGTGTTATAATCTCTAAGCTTGGCAGACAGGTTGGAGATCTATGTAAAATGTTTAGATTTATAAGAGAGGATTTTCTTCTCTGATAAGCTGCCCGGTTTCTGTCTTTCAGTTGTGGTTGGTTCTACTCTACTCAAACATTTTATTTGTTTAATGTAGAAAATTACTTTGATAAGAGTTTTGAGCGCCGTTAATAAAGCACTTTATAATCATCCCATTCCTTGTATGGCATTAGTTAATTAGCCGAAACAAATTTTGTTAATCTTAATTACCACGGTTGAAAAGTTAAGGTAGTCCATATAATTATATCGAAGAAGTCAATAGGCCGTTAAGCATCATGCTAAGCCCAATATACCTGAGTAACAGATAAAACCCTTACCAGAATGCGCTGTTGAGCTGTGAGGCGTCCGCTTTCACTTGTACGAGTCGCGTGCACAGCGCGGATCCATTGCTTCGTAGTTCGTAAAGTTCTACCGGCTGGCGACCGCTCTCCTGAATGAAAAAAAAACTTGTATAAATGGTCAATACTCTAAATAGATTGATTGGATTGTGGGATTGCACGATTTGCACAGTGGCTGGGCGACCTGTTACAGCGCACTGTGTCGCGGGTTCACTTCTTGCACGTAACAACACTGACCACTGATCCACAGATTGTTGCTTCGAGTCTGGGTGTCATGTGCATGTTGAAATTGTATATTTGTAAACTCACCCACAGACACAGACATAGGAGAAAATCCTACTGAAGATACAAACATTTTCTAAAAGAAAAAATATAGTTTGACATCTTTGTGAGTCAAGTAAAGTCGAAAAAAAGTGACTGAAATTAATTTACCAATAATTCTAACTTGAAACGAAGTTACTCAAAGAGTTTGATGTACAATAGCTATGAAAGATCATAGCACATAGTCATAGTAATTTTTAACCATAACAAGATACGTAAAAAAATTACATACCGGCTTCTGATTCCTCTTGCCATCTTTAATGATGAACCGCCTATGGAAGTGAGCCATGAACTTGAGGCTCTCTTGTTGCTGGTGGGTCCTGACGACGTCGAGCCTCTTGCAGAGCTGTTTGAACTTGCGCTCGAGTCCAAAGGTGAAAGTCAGCCAGCCCATGTTAGGGGCGCGCCGGCCCTGCCAGAAGTACACCACCCAAGTCGCTGCCTCCGATTCCGAGTCGTCTTCGCATGGATTCGTTGCATCAGTCTCGTCTTCCGGCTGTTACAATGATAGAACAACCAATTTAAGCTAATACGATAGTTACCAATAAGTCGAATTCAATACTTTTCTCATGATAAATCAAAAACTATATTTTTCTATGATTTTTTTATGAAATCGAAACATAATACGACGTCATTATGTTTTAACATCAAATAGTATATCCACTTTTATCTGAAACAGTAGCCAGAAAAATCTAAAATATGTAAATAAAAAAAGTATATCGTCAAATCAATGAATAAAAGTTTGATTATATACTATTTAAACATTCCGTTGTTATATATTATAAAGCTGAAGAGTTTGTTTGTTTGAACGCGCTAATCTCCAGAACTTCTGGTTCGAATCGAACAATTCTTTTCGTGTTAGTCCACCTATTGAGGAAGGCTATAAAATATAACGCAAAGATACGAAGTAGACGAGCAGTGAGTGGAACCGCGTGAAAGTAACTTGTAAAAATAATATCTTACCTCTGCTGGTAAGACATATCGGCACAGGAAGACGTAGCAGTCACAGCTATGGAAGACGCCGAGCTCGTGGTCCGGCAGGCGCACGAAGTGCCTGCCTTCCAGCACGAATGCTTCCATTGCTTCTAGATCCTCGTTCCACTCGTCCGCGAGAGTCTTGGCCTCTGCAGCCCCCATCGCTGGTTGCCGCGGAGTGAATAATGCTGAGAGATCCGCTCTGAAAGAATTGTTTATATTAGAAGACTGATTTTCTAACTAACACTATTCTGAAATTCCGTTGTACCTTTATTTATTTAAGGGCTAATTTTTCAATGGTTAGATAAAAGTTATCTGGGGAGTAATTATGATGCTGTCGCGTCAGAACGTTTATATAAGACAGTGGCAGCAACAATTTTATTCCTTAGGTAACTTTTATCTAACCATTGATAAATCAGCCCTAAGTCAGGTAAAAATTAAACTTGTTAAGTTTTATTATGTTCACAATAAATAAATGTGTTGAGTATACTATTTGCCATTTTTTTTCATTTATGGTAGAGTCAAGCCCCCTCAAAATGTTTCTCTTTTTATTACTATTATTATTTGAACTTGCTTTAACATACACATGTTAGTAAACTATTGTATAATATTTGCTTTTCAATATAAACTCGAATTGTTGCATTGCTTATTTTCAGTTTGTGTTGTATAGCAGTATAAGGAACAGACAGAAACATACTTGGTCTCTTGTTGTTTAGCCCAGCTGGCGAGGTCAGCGCCAGTCCTGGCGACCGACTCCGCTGTACGCGTGAAGTCCACCGCTATAACCTCCTCCCAACCGAGGAAGTAAGTCTTGAACACCTTCGAGCAAAAGAAGAGAGAGCTATAAGAGACATGCCAAGTGATATCGCGCTTCTCGAACGCACTCGTAACTCCTCTGATGTTGCAGTTCGGGTGTCCATGGGCGGCGGCGCTTGCATAGCAACATGTAATTATTAGGTATATAAAATGGTATTGTCATATTTTAACATGACAAATGTGTTAGCAGAAATAGTAGTCAGTTCAACCAGAAGTGATACCACAATCTCTTAGAAAACCGGCGTGATATAACGCTTGAGTTGTGTTTACCACGTGTTTGAGGTTGCCCGACGCCCAATCCTCGCCATTTCCTTACCTGATATCTTTGTAAGGATAATAGTATAGACTTTTATAAGCTAAGTTGTACCTGTGTCTCGGTTCCCTCTTGCAGTCGTGTGACGAGTGCATGCGGAGGTCGCGCCACCATGTTGAATAGCTCTTGCGCTAATTTCACCGCGGCTGCGCGGACTAGGCGAGATGACTTCTTGCCAAACCTGACATAGTTAAAATATTGACATTAGTATAATATTAATTAAGATAAACTCAAAACTACACAACGGATTTTTATTGTATAATCAGATGCTGGTGATAAGCTGAAAGTTTTCTGCTTTTCTTTATGTAATAGGTCGGCAAACGAGCAGACGGTTTACCTGATGGTAAGCAAACCGCGCTGACACCCGTAATACCAGAGGTGTTACGAGTACAAGGCCTTTTGGGATGAGGGTTTCGGAGATTTAGGGAAGATGTATACGCTTTGCTAGACTTCAGAGTTTTGTTGTTTTAATGGTTATATCTACTGTAAATCCTGGCTTACAGGAGTTTTGGGAGGTTGCGATGGGCTTGTGTTATTAAAAAAAGGCTTTACTAGACAGAGACTATTACAAAAAATGACTATTTTTTTAAACAGAAGCGGGGTTAGATTTGAGCAAATTGTATATCGACATAGGTCCGTACCAGACAAAAACATCGACATGAGCGTCGAGTATGTAGACGTTCCTGGTGAGTAGCACTGCGCGCGCGAGAGGACAGCTCTCCGGCTGCGGCAGCTCCAGGTAGCCCATGCCCAGCTCCACGCGGTACAGCCGCGCCCCCGCCCACGTGAACTCCGCAGGCACGTGCTCCTGTATATGCGAAATAGTAGAAATGAACATTTATATAGAGGTTACGATTGATATTAACTACTTTCTTAATAATTATAAACGTTTGTAAACCAAATATAAAAAAAAACATGAAATTTAATTATAATTATCAGCATAAATATCGAAATGTCCATCATATAAGCCAAAGAATTGAAAAACCGTAGTCCTATACATACGTAAACTTAAAACTTTGGAATGCCTTGTTCACGTAATGACCATAAGTCAATTCTGTTAATTCTATGGATTACTAGCTACTCTCGCGCGGTTTCACAGCCTATAGCACTCAGGAATGTTGTAGCTATCTATCAGTGAAAGAATTTTGTCAATCCGACCAGCGGTTCCAAAGATACATACTTACAAATTTTACCTCTTTATAATATTAGTATAGATGAGTCTTATAATTATGATGGCCTAAATTTTATTCATACATTTTAATAAACATTACAATTCATTGTTATAGAGTTTTTGATATTGAATTTCTGTGAATTTGAGAAGTATGTTAGAAAATAGGGTAATTCGCTCTTCTTTTCAGTCTGTTTATCTAAATAAAACTAGACTATGTATATGCTATCAGTGCTTCATCGTCATACATTATTAATTATATTGCTAGGTACTATTATTGCATGTTTCTGTGCAATTTGTCGCAAGGTAAAGGTCAGGGTTCATTGTTAAATAATCATATTTACTATTCGATAATGTTCATTTTGTATTAAAGTGCTATAAATTAATTAATGTTTCTCACCTGTGGTACATAGGGCAGATCTCCTTCATATCCAAGAGTCTCCCAAAAGCTGGCCGGCTCTTTGCCGGGTGCTTCAGTAATCAATTCAGCCTTGTTCTTCCTTTCTTCTTTATTTATCTTCTCCGCAAATAAACGGGCTTTGGACTTCAGGGTGTTCTTTGCTTTTTTCCCATACCTGCATATAAGTTAAGAATGAGTATGTTTTGAGAATCAATTCATTAATAACATAAAGGCTAAGAACTCACGGAGCGATTTTGAACCGTGCCCGCCGCGGTAGCGGAACTGCGGTTTTATTTCCAAACTCACGATACCGGTTATTTGGGCGGTTACACAGCCGCCGCGGTTGCGATCATCGCCCGCAAACGTGGCGGGCGATGATCGCAAGATTGCAAGACGGGCGGTTAAAACGATCAGTTGAGGTCCAGACCACCATGGACACACACCAGAAACGAGCCGTTACGTTATATTTACTTCACAGAAGACCCGCCGGCCCCCGCGGTCGCTCGCCAACCGATCGCAAAGCGCGCGGGTGCCACCCGCCGAGGCTGCGGGTAACCGCGGCCCGCGCGATTCTACTAGTTGCCCGCCGGTACAGCGGGAGCCGCATACAACCGCGTACACCGCGGGCGTAAAACGCGTCGTGAAATGTGCTTTAATTTTTTATATATATATATATTTGAATTCTATAGAAGCTGCGGGCCCGCAACCGCAGCGGACGCGGGCGAAAATCGCTCCGTGAGTTCTTAGGCTAACACGAACATTTTTTTTGACTTTTGACTTTGATTTTTTGACTGCACGGTTGGCTCGGTGGCTGGGCAACTGGCTGCTATGCAACGTGTGATAACGAGTCACGGGTTCGATTCTCGCACGGCACAATGCTTTATGTGATCCACTTATTGTTGTTTTGGGTCTAGGTGTGTGTGTGTGTGTATATGAAGTTGTATGTTTATAAACGCACCCACAATACAGGAGAAAATACTAAAATTGGGCAATGTTTTTTTAAGAAAAAAAACACCTTAAAGCCTTTCCTTTTCCTTAAAAGAAGCGGGTCAGTAAGATTTTGACACTCCCCGAAAAGTCATTTGATATTTTCCGCGTTCAAAATTAGTCCAAACCAATCATGAATAGGAAAATATCCCGTAGTTATAAATTTAATATAAATAAGCACTATCAGTTTATAGAAACTATGACAGTAATAAACATGTATTTTTAAAGCAAATTGACATCATATTGTTAAAAATAAAATAAACTTCATGTACACACAGGATAAGCCAAACGGAAAACATTCCAATAATAACAAGTACCTATTCAAATTAAATTGTTAATATCTTTACGCGATTCTTCATTACAATCATGGCCATAATTAAAGAAATCTTTGATATGGCCAAATCATTGTTAAGGTTTAAAAATACTGAGTTAACCAAACATGTACATACATGATTAGAAATTAATAACAGTATTCTACATGGAGTGGCTTCCATCTATCCTCCATATCTACTGTTATTATATTTATAAAAATAAACATTAAAGGACTTATCATAAACAAATTTACAGGGTTCACGAAGTAGCTGGGCAATCGGCAGTCGTGCAAAGTCCGGGGTACCATTCTATAACAACTCTTTGTGTGTATATTCCAAGCATTGTCCAGATCTAACACCCAGTTTCCGAAAGGCCGATCAATGTTAAAATCAATTTAATCTCTTGTCAAGTCATCTGATTGGTTGACTGAATTATCAACAACCAATCAGATGACTTGACAAGAGATTTAACAGGAGATTAGTTAATTTTAGCGTTGACAAGCCTTTCAGAAACCGGGTGTAAGAGTGTGATTTGTATATGTTTTTTTTTTTAATTTTTGTCTAGGACACAGAAGAAAATATAAGTGTAAGGAAACATTTAAAAAATTGATTTGAACTCACCACAAATAAATAACGAGTCCAGTATCAAGAACGAAGACGTAGCGAGGATCGAGTGAGTCGGCTTGCACCGCTACTGGTTCCAGGTGGATACTGTTGCCGGCGCCGTGGACGCGGTACAGCCGGGTCACGTAGTGCTACACAACAATATACAATTCTATATTATTCAAAAACAATAAATAGTACATTGTGGTACACGTGTAAAGTTGGTGAGGCGAGGGTCTTAAGGAGTCGAGGACGGCAATCGCCAATACTTCTTATTAAAATAATACTTACAATAAAAAACTTCAAAAGAGAAAACGGAACGAGTTGTGAAAAATGTTTCGTAATGGCGGGAAAAATTAATCAGTTTTCTTGTGCGCACGCATCGGCCATAGATTAAAACGTGAGGTTTCTTTTTTTTTTGGGCTTTTCGCGGATCGTATTTTAGCACAAGCGTAAGCGTAACTCAAACAATAATATTAAAAATGACTCTATTACTCACTTGTGAATAATAGTAATGAAAAAGTCTCAGGGGTCATTACGTGCCTAATTGCCATGGGATTAGAGCCACTTTATGAGGAAGTGTGTTCAAAAATATTACAAAATTATAAAAGAGGTGTTTACTTAATAGTTGTAACTTACCGGGTCATCGACCGTGAAGAACCCTGAGGGTGTGTGACTGCCCTGTATGTAGACGGGCGGGGTGGGGAACAGAGCCAGGAACTCCGGTGTCTCGTCTGCCTGCTCGTGTCGCTGGGTGCGCTTCGCCCCGAGTAAGTTTCGTAAATTAACTGCGTGCATCGCCGCGCACGCTGCCTTGTCCAGCTATAGAAACATAGACGTTAATTAGTTAAAAATCATTTTCAATGTATATGTGTATGTTATTGAAATACAATTAAATTAAGGTTATTGCTTCGTTCAGATTAACCTGTAAGTACATCATATATTAATATGATAGCCACCACCATCCACTCTGGCGTAATAATATCAGAAATATTAGAGTAGCCATTCATAATTTTATCAAAGAAGTTTTTTTTAATAGCAAACTTATGTTATAATGTTATTTTTAAAGCTTTTATGTGTACTTACAGTAGCTTTAGACCCGATCCAGAAGTGTATGTCCCAGGAGAGCTGTCCTTGCTCTTCGATGGCAGTCTTCAAAACTATGTAACAATCGCCTTCGAAAAATTTACCGTGTGCCACCTGAGTAACAAAAATATTATTTATGAAATAATAGAAATACAGATTCCAATAGACACTGCTACCACAATAGCCAAGGTCTTCTTTCGCTTCGCCTCCGTACTGCATTCAATTCAAAGTGGAAAATAAAATAGCTTGAGAATCAAAGCAGTTGGAATCCACAACTGTCAAGCCACTACCCATTATAGGAATCTACTATAGGAACGAAATGGTGGTGAACCAACAAGACTCGCACATACATTTCAAATGACCCTTCTAAACTAAACTAAACATTATTTGATTTCCAACTTTATAGTTTTGGTATAATGTCAAAAATCCAATAAAAAATAGACAAATAAGAGTAGGTTGATTTAACTGGCTATAATAAAATTCCTAAAGCTTATTGATTACGAAGCAGATAGCTAGATACCTCATCGACTGGCGCTGGTATGAAGTTCTCGATCTCCCACACGGTGAGGCCGGGAGTCTGTCCCGTGTCCTCGTCAAAGAACTCCGAGTAATCTAGCGGCGGCTTCTCCAAGCTCTCATCCCATCGCTTCGGTCTACGACATACATATTATATACTGGACATTGTGTGGAGTATACTTAAATGGATATTAAACGGAGAACTCTTAATCAGTGTACTAAATGCAAGAATGTGCTAAAGAAAAAAGATTTAATTAGAATTAAGTGAAGGAGTGTCAAGCTTCGGCACGAATGGCTTGACCGGAGTTATTCCACGGCCTCACAGAAAACCGGCGTGAAACAACCACAGCGTCGTGTTTCCCCGTGTGTGTGAGGTTACCGGAGGAACTCCTGTAGTGTTGAGGGTGTCCATATGGGGCGCTGATTGCTTACCATTAGGTAATACGTGTGCTAGCTTGTCGACCTATCCCATAAAAAAAGAATTTAAAATGTTATAGGCATTATTTTATGTCCAGTCTGGTTTACAGATGGTTGATGTACCGCAACAAGGTTCGGAGCAAGAGAAGGAACGGTGGGGTTTTAGCCAGTAAGAGTCTGACACTCCCTTTCGCTCAAAACAGGGCGTAAGAAGTCATATGGTGATCTCACCGCCCCTCAAAAACAAAAGCTATCATGGTCTTATGTCATAATGCACTACATGGTAACAAATTGAGAAAATGTTTTTGACAACTGTACCTAGCTAACAACTTTGCGAGAACATCTTTAATCCATGTATAAAAATACAGAAGTATAACTAAAATCCAACATATTTTTGTCAACTTCATCCATCTTTATACCAAAATTTCAGGTACTTAAAGAAATATACATATACTTACTTAAGTTCAGAGTTCTTCTGCTCTAGTTTCTGGTCGTTGTGCTGAGTGTTGGCCTGTTCCTGCATACCGCGGAGGATAAGTGCGGAATCACGTTGTTCCGGCTCAGCTCGACCACGTCTTAAGCGCATCTTTCGAGCGATTGGGTCGGATTTTACACCTGAATAAATTATGGAGGTTAAATAAGATTTTTAGGAGAAATAGTATCAGGTTATTGCATTCAGCATTAGCTTGAGAAACAAAATGATTTGACGCAAGTGGTCGCCTTCACCCCCGTGCTACCAACTGCCGCAAGACTAACACACGGTTTCTGAAAGGCTTGTCAACGCTAAAATTAAGTAATCTCCATCGATCACTAATAAAGAACGAACGAAAGTTCTTTATTAGTGATCGATGGTAATCTCCTAATAAATCTTTTGTCAAGTCATCTTTGTTGTATTTAATTGTTGATAATTCAGTCAACCAATCAGATGACTTAACAAGAGATTAAATTGATTTTAACATTGATCGGCCTTTCGGAAACCGGGTGTAAGTGTGGACACGCCAACAACCTGCGCCCCAAGAAGAAGAAGAAGAATTACTTTATTTCTTTCAATTACCATCTTACTGTAGTTCTTTTTCATTTACAAAATAAAGGTAATTTTAAAACAGTTTGTATGTATTTGTCACTGACAATATTGTTCAGTTTACGCAATAGTAACCTTCGAAGCAAGTTACACGTTCGCCCTTAACTTGTGGAATTTATCTGGGAAATAGATATGTAGAGAGTAAAGAAATTTTTTATACATACTGTTAGGCGTAGTAGGTTCATTGGAAGCGGCACCGGCCAGTTGCAGTTGAGCTTGCAGAGAGAAGTCAATGTTATAATACTGGAGTCCAGCCCCTCTTGGTCGCTCCACTGGCTTCGGCGGCATTACCAGATCAGGGTTTCCATGCAGCTGAAGACTTTCTAAGTCACTCAGTAGGTGAATAGCGTCAGGGAGCGTGATAAGCTTATTGCAACTTAGATTCAGTTTCTTGAGAGATCCACATCTGTTAAAAAAATAGTTTTTGTTATTTACAAGTCTGTTTAAGAGGGTATACATCAATAGTCCATTACAATCTACTGCTGGTCTATGGGCAATCTCTACATAAAGATGATTTATCATAATTTGATACCACAGCTAATCCCAAACGCCCCAATCCTCAACATCCGAAATACAGAAGGCCGGAAACCCACATGATTTTATCCCATTTTTGCATGCGTGGGCGTGTACTGATTGCTTACTACCAGGCGATACCGCCCGTTCGCTAGCCGACTCATATCATAAAACATAAAACATTGTGTTTCTTCATCTGTGATTGGTTGCAGATAAATAGGATATGTATGGTAATAAATAATAGGGGTGGTAATAAACTTGTGTATTCGACCTCTTATGGAGGAGTACATGGCTATTAGGGGGGCAGGAGTATTGTAAGTTATTTGTTGATTATTGGCCAGTCTCTAATCCCATGCAAATATTAAAAAACCCATCATTCATACACAGAATTTAAATTGTAAAAACACGGGACATTTCATATAACTGTCAACTAAATCCCTTGCATATGTAGGAGTGATTTCATACAAATTAAATTTTATAAAAATAAACACATACATTTCTAGTAACATTTATTTTTTAACAGATTTTTTTATCTTCAGTCCATCAACAAGCAGTCATTATTCATATGCCAAATTCTTTTAAGAATCACATGATATCGTAGGTACATAATATTTATTCGGAAAACAGATTATATTTTGTTTAGTAACTGATGTTCTATCAACACGATTTATTATTTAGTAGAGTCTCGCTCAATCTTCGTAAGGTTTTGCCTTTCGGACTTGCCTTGGGATTATTGCTAATGTTGTCAAATACAACAAATAACTCATTTAGAACAATCGTTTGGAGGATTTCATTCGTTTCGACGGTTATTTATTATTTGTTTTTTTTTTTTATTAAAAGCGCCAATCCTTACTTGTCTGCTGACAAGTTGATTTACTACATAAAACTACCTACATACATACAAACTTACAAAACTGACAATTTACTGGTGTGTATAAACTTATTCACCGCCACTCTATCTATTGTGATAGATAGGAAATGAGACTTTTATTAAAAACGAGCCATTTTGAAACCATCTATCCTTGTATTGTGTATTGTTGTATAATACTATGCTTTAATCTGTATTTCGAAAAACTAACGCGATGACAGGCTGTGAATAATGTGACATGGTTGTTGACATTTTAGTTTACATTTTTAGAAATGTCCCATATAACTGTTAACCTAGTTTCTGGCGTAGATATATTGATGTTAATTCTTTTGATAATTTATTAATGGCATACTTGATACATGGCAGTGCGAAAGTGGGTATAAATTTAGTCTTTCATTAATAAAAATCGCGTTAGCCGTCTGAAGTTTTTATTTGACTGACTGGCGTTGTAAATACTAGACCCAAAAAATCGGTTTACTAGCAATAATTAAAAAAATAACAAAATTGGTATTCTTATCGTATTCATTAACACGGCTTTTTAGTGCAAGTTAATCTGTAATATCAAAATATGCCTGCCTACCTGCACAGTCCTTCAGGTATCATCTCCAACAAGTTGTTGGCAGCTGAGAACACTTCGAGGCTTCCCAGCTTCCCAATGCCAGAAGGTATACCTTCAAAGTCCAGCTTATTGTCGTCCACATGCAACCTCCTTAGATTCTGCAGTTTGCATAAAGAAGCAGGCAGCACAGTCAGGTTGTTTCGTGATAAGTTCAAGCTCTCCAGTTTCTGCCAATTGTCCATAGCTGGAACAATTTATTCATAATTCATAAGTAGGTACTTAAAATTGATGTTCCGATATTGCTTTTTTAATTTGAAATGTAAATGAATATAAATACAATTTTCATAACTTTAAACTGTGTGACAAATCGCTAAAAATAATTGTTGATTTGATTTGATTCCGCCATCCCAATTTCACCTTCGGACATCCCGGCGTACGGCGAATATCCACCCCTACGTTGTTGAGACACCTGCGGCCCGGACTAAGCGTTTTGCCTCGTCATTTATACCGCGTACATCGAGGGATTGGAACAGTTTGCCGGCTGCAGTCTTTCCGTCCGAATACAACTTAGGTGTCTTCAAGGCTAGAGTGAATAGGCTCTTAATAAACTAGTGCGCCTTACCATCAACGATTGCATCACTGCTTAACATCAGGTGGGATCTCAGTCAAGCACTGGTTTATTGCAAGTAAAAAAAAAAAAAAGTTGTACCTACGCACAACAATCACTTATAAATTAATTTTGGCAGTAGAAACTTCATGAAAACTCTAATAAAAATGGCGCTGTCGTCAGTTTAGGACGTAGCTGCCAGTCACAATGGCGTTGCAGGTCACTAGATTGTTCTAAAGGTATATTTGTACGTCTAAGGTCGTCCTAGGTCATGGATCGACGGTCGTGGCTACAACCGTAACATCTATGGTCGCTTATATACCGTATCAAGTGTCTGCACATGTTTTACGGCTTTGTTTGATAAAAGTTTCACAAAAGAGTTTTTGTTCTCGTGTTTCACTTACATGTGGTTTCCCTTTCTTTTGTTTTGTATTTTATGGGTTAACATGACATGCAACAAAATTAGCAACAAGATTTTAAAAATTCTGTTGTGAACATAGTAAATATAACGAGACATTCCTCTAGCTAGTTTTAAGCGCAAACTTTCTCTTTTACTTTTCAGTAGGCATGTTAAAACAAACTGAAATTGAATGTTCAGAAAGTATAATATGAGTGTACACGGGTATAGCCCCATGTATGACATTACACTAAGCTCTTAGAGGCAGCCAAGCACTTATAAATAAGGTTGGATTTTTATAAATAAACGGTGGCTTGATGTATTGTGGCGTCTTAATAATAAGAGATGTTATGTAAAATAATTTTAGAATATTTATCAATTAATGAAGGTGTGGCAGCAAGGAAGTGCATTATTGAGAATGACTCAAACTGATTACACTGAGATAATGCAAGTAGCAATAAAAGTAGCCATTACTACTTAAAATAATGTAAAGTGGTTTTGCAAGGACTTTAAGCTGATATGCAGATATTATTTGGCACAATAAAACCCTTTTATTGTTAGGGTAAAATCATCAAATAACGTCTCCCAACCAGGTGAGAGGAAGTGTCAGAGTCTTACTGACTAAAAACCTCAGTTCCTTCTAGTACTCTAAGCCGAAGCCGCGGTCTCATTGCGAAATAAAACCTTAAGGTGTAGAACAAAACCTTGACGTCAATTGAAAGAAGAGTTACCAAGAATGTGAAATTAGATGTTATATTTAATCTTTGTGTAGGCCCTTAATCGGCTCTTAAAACATTCGAGATTGGTTATATATGTTTATTCTCCTGCCTGCCATCATAACATGATAATCATGATAATGGCTATTTTTTTTTATCGCAATCTGTCTCTCTGTAAGTAATACTTCACCCAAATAAACCTTTCATTATGCCACCAACAGCCCATTGAACTAGATAAAACAAAAATTTTAATAGGTCAACTTTTGTTTAGCATCTGAACCAACAATAGAAACTAGTCATAACAGATGTATAATTTATAAACTATGCATAGTAAAATAGAAAGCATGACTTCACAGTAATTGATGACAAACATGCAAACGCATGAGTGAAATTACTATGAGTTTTTATGTGCATTCGTATCAACGAGCATCGTAAAATTATGTGCACCGATGGAAATCTGATTTGGTCATGCATTTTTTTCTAGACAGCTTGATTTCATAATATCCATCTATTCATCTTAGTTGTTTGAATGTCGCGGATTTTAACGAGCGTTTTTTATTTTAGAGAACTAAATAAAATAAATATTTGAGCCCAGCTTGAAACTCATACCATAAAATTTATGCTATCTTTTGGGGAAAGAACTTCTTAGACTGCACGGTTGGCGCATTGGTTGGGCAATTGGCGACCGCACAACGTGTCACGGGTTCGATTCCCGCGCGAAACCACTTTTTGTGTGATCCACAATGGGTTTCAAAACAACATCTTAGGAATTTATTAAAGTACACGCGTAAAATGGTTATTACATTTGATAAGCTCTTTGCTTATCCTTTCCGGCAATGCATGATATTGTAAAAATAAGTGACAATAAATATTTCCTAGGGATAAGCATGTTTAACCAGGCAAACAAACCGCTAATAGCGATTTAGCAAATTTGTATAAATTCGGGAAGTGTCATTGAACGTCGAAAGTTATCTAGATGGGACAACTTAATCCAAGTAATGTACCTATTGTTTCGTAAACCACAGATAAAATTGCTTACTCTACGTAAACAAAAGATTATTATCTAACAAGCAATAAACAATGGCAGAATTGTTTACACTAAAGGTTCATTGGAGGAATGAGATAAGACAGAAATTTGGCTCCACTTAGATAATAACTATATCTATAAAATGTGATAATATCTAAAAAAACATAAATGCTCTGACTGTAGCTCAACCCTATTTGTATATTTGTAAGTTAGAATGTAGGGGTAATCTTTAGAACCGTTGGTTGGATTTCCAAGTTTCTTTCACCCATAGATAGCTACAATGACTCTGAGTGCAATAGGCTATAAACCATTACCCTATGACCAATAGGAGCCGCGGGTGAAACCGCGCGGCAAAAGCTAGTGTAAACTGAACATAATCAATTCAAGCATTTCATATATTTCAACCCACATAGAGCATCACTCATTCATTTGCAAATTGCCATTCTCTTTTATGAATAGATTAGTAGTAAAATAATAAGCTTCAAGACAGGCTGATATTTAAAAAGAAAAAAATTACAAAGGATTGTTCAGTAATTTTCTTACCTGAAGACACTTCAGTGATTTCATTGTCACTGAGGTTCAATCTCTTGAGGCTGAGCAATGAGTATAAGGCATCAGGGACTTTGGTTAAAGCATTCTTCGATAAATCCACATCTGATAGGTTGGAGAGGGTATCCAGAGATGACGGAAGGTTGGCAAGAGTCCTTTGTGTGTTCCGCATGTGAAGTACTTCCAGACTTTGAAGAGAAGGCAATTGTCTGAAATAATAATTATTATTATTTACTGCTGGTATTAATACATAATGGTGTTTTGTTTCTTGTTCCAGTTCTATGTCTAATTAAAAGAAATCCTGTACAAGCTTAATATTCACAGTATTTATTTTGGTTGGTTTCTATTATAAACTCAAGATAAAATGCTAGTATCTATTAAGAAAAATAAATATTATAGAAAGCTGTTGTTGGCATTCTTAGTCTAGTTCTAGTCTTACCTCAGTTGAAAAACTCCGAGGGGATTGTCATTAAGTATAAGTGTTTGCAAGTTTGCTAGTCTCCTGGTCTGAGGGGGCAAAGTCTCCAGCAGATTGTTGGATAGGTCCAGAAACAATAAGTCTGTCAGTTGCACAAATAATGTAGGTGGGATGCTCTCAATTCTGAAATAGCAGTAAAAATGTAACGGTCAATGAATACCAATTAAATTAACATAAGAAGCAGGTTTGGTGACACAAATTCTGCTTCATTCCACATCATTTGTATTAAAGTAATTTAGTAAAAATTTAGTAAAGTTTATAATTCTTTGCAGGTTTACTGCCATGTTTTGATGTTTTAGCAAATATATGTTTAAAAGTGTTACCTTATATTTTTAGTCTGGTTAAATTTAAACTAAAGATACTTTGTTTTCTAGGGCTGGAAACTAAAAATATATTTAAGAAAAATATCTACTCTAGACTTACTTATTATGACTGAGATTTAAGACTAGCAATGATTTGGCTTTCTCTAATCCTTCAGGAACTTCCTTCAGCCTGTTATGTGATAGATCCAAGGTGGTGAGCTCTTCCAACCTGAACAGCTCAGCCGGGATCCCAGAGCTCTTTACATTGTTGTGCCTTACATTCAGGGACCGCAGACATTTCAGCTCAGTTAACTCACCAAATAATTTCTCTAAACTATTCTTCTTCAATGATAAATTCTCCTGTGGTTTCAAATATTCATGGCATATTAAAATGTATTTTTAATTTGCACATTACATTGTTTATATAAACTTTTTGAAATACCTTTTAGTTAAAATACAAATCTGTGATTCAAATCAGTGAACATTATAATAACAAAAGTAAAACCATTGCGTTAATACATTTGACACAACTGTAGAGATAGATATAAATGCTTTGTTCGTGAAATCATCAAGTAAAAAAGATTTGATTAAAAGGCCTACTTACCAATTTCATCAACTTGCCTAACTCCTCAGGGATATCTGTCAGGTTAGTCTTGTCAAGTCGTAGCCACTGGAGGCCAGTCATATACCGAATAGCATCCGGGAATTTGTCATCCTACAAGAAAGAAACATTTTAGGATTCAAATAGGAAACCAAAGGTTAGGGATATGATATCATCCGTAATAGGCAAAGCAACGTATCGACAAAATTATACTACACTTACACTGAAATCATTACAGGTAAAGTCCACGCCGCGAACAAACGGCAATAAGCCTGTATTTGCCATGTTTACAACGATTTATTTATAAAAATACATTGGTTCTCTGTAAAAAAGTTGTCAGCTGAAATGACATTTGATTTGAACTATTTTGCACAGATAATGTATTTATAGACTGTGATGTGACGTAAATGGTCCACAGATTAAATAGGAACAGTATCTTAAAGGTGAGTTTCATTAAAAGAATTTAATTAAGTAGGTGTACCGAAAAATGAACATATAAAAATAAAAATATGAAAAAAAGATTTCCAAGTTATTGGTGCAACACATCTTGTGAAAGAAAATGCAATAATATACAGTACTTCACAGTTTACAGTTATTACATTTCATTAGCGTTATCTTGTGATTAAATACTAATTTCAGCACTACTCATAGCATATAGGTTTCCAATTTTCAAATTCTCAGTTTTGTGCATCCTCAATCAAAGACACACATACACTACATTCTTCCTCCATAACAATAATATGTATCCAACATCTTGGGTTGATAATATAACCCAAGATGTTGTTGGATAGCCTCAATTGCGTTTATAGGGTGTAATTACTTTTGTCAATCAAGGGTAAAGGGTCACCAATATTGATTTTTAGGGTTCTGGATTACCCTGACAATGCAAACTGGTCGCAATAACAATCTTTCGTTTGCGAACATCTCCCTATTTAAATCTTTAAGTACCTATAGAGTTCCTCGTGATGTTGCGGGTCAAGCGCAATAAGGTACCTACCGAGGCTTCGACTTGGAGCAGAAGGAACGGGAGGATTTTCAGATACCCTGGGCGAGACAAGACATGGGATGATTATCCCTCCACAAAAAAGTGGGCGTCATGTTAACTTTCCGTGTGCAAAATGCAGTTATTGCTAAACAAGTAGCACTCGATGTTTTCAGAGAAATTTTATTATACATTTAGACTTTGACCTGACAAGTCTGTATACTAAATACATAGGAACCTACTAATTCATAGCTCCCTAAGATGATTTCACACTAAGTAAAATGATAACAGTTTTTGTTTTAAATTTATTATACACTGTATTACTTTTTGCCACATTTTTACTATTGTACACACTAGTGTACACACTAGTGTAACAGTACATTTATTCTAATAACAAAGCATCTTCTATAATATATTTTTCACAAAATGAAACCGTCATCTCACTAACCAATCAATATAATCACAAAATTAGAAACAGTATCATGACTGCAACCTTCAGGAACAGAAAAACATAAACAGAGAAAATGCAACTTATTTTTACTACAATTATAATAGTTTATTAAACAGTAATTTGATTATTTTGTAAACATTTCAACTAAATGCAATTGGGTAAATAAATTATGTAGCTAACATACAATCAACTAATTGCTAGTTGCTATGCCCAAAACAAAATACCTCAAATTATGTTTAAAGAAGGTACCTATTCATTTTTTTTAACTAATACACTAACATTAAAGCATTCAGGATGATATTTGAATATTTCCTTTATATATCAATATTATAGTGAAGATTTCAAACTGTTTACAATGAATATATTGTTTGACTATAGTAACTGATCTATCGGGGCATCGGTGGCATGTTTGGCATGGGGCCTGCCATAGCTGTGTTGGTTCCTAGCAAGACCTGAAATGAAGAACATTTATTATAAATTGTCTCATTAATTATTTTAACACAATCAGAACAAGTTTAGAAAAAAAATATACCTGTTTCTGTTGTGACTTTTCCATTTCAGCCATTTGAGCCCGCTCAACTTCAAATATGACTGGTGCAAACAAGATTACTGATGAACTGGCTATTACCCACATCACAGAGCGGGACAATCCATACAGAGATTTAACTCCAGACCTGAAAACAATAATTCTATTAATTAAAAGAAAATAAACAGGTTATTAACAATGTCTTCAGTAAACTTTACAAACCAGTTAAAACTGGTTGTTACAGTCTACTAACTACAATAATTAGTTCGCTGGCTACTATCTACCACAATGTGAACTTACAACTAGTGTATATTGTATAACAAGAATTTAAAGAACTGATTAGATGGCACAATTCATTGTACGCAAAGTCCCTAAGTTCCGAGGTGTAGTGTGGTATGATCGCTGTTAGGCTGTTATTGTCCCCATATTGGGCAATTAAGAGTGCCATACCACTTTACCTCCATAAGTCCCGATGAATCATGCCATCTGACCACCGCTTCAGCAATTTGACATTATCAGTACAATAGCAATGTAACAGAAAACTGTAAAGTACTAATTACATGACATGTTTTGTTTCACAATTAGGCATCATTAAATTTGCACTTATGTTATGAATTGGGAATGATCAATAATAACTTACACTGTGTTTGTAGTGAATGTGTAAGTGCAGCTTCGAACACACTCCGGGAACATTTCAGTCAGGCCCCATAACCTCTCTGATAAGGTTTCATCAGGTTCCTTGAATGATAAATAATGTTATTGTCAATATTTACATAAATTAATATATCCCGATATTAGTTTTACAACAAACATTTGTACTATAATTCTAAAACCCTTAAACTCACATCATCGTATTCTTTCAATGGTCCAGCTAAATGTCCTCCAGTAGGTCCACCGATAGGAGTGCCAGCGCTGGGCGACGATCCAAGCTGTAAACAAATTCACTTTAATAATTTATCACAAGTTTTCTACTTTTCTTTATCAGTTGGTACATACTGAGGGGGTTATGAAAAATTCATCGGGCCTGCGCTCTGGACTATCATCTTTGCTCGCACTCAAAGACTCCATTCCGCTGTCACTTTGTTCCTGATCATCGGTTAATTCCATAAGCATTCTATCCGCACAATCGTTACTTTTTAACACTTTTTTTCGTGATTCCCTGTAGGATTCAAGCTTTAACTTGGACTAAGGCCCCAAAATTCCGTAACATGCAATAGCCGTGCACAAAAGCAAGAGACAAAGTTGTACTGCTGAGTGTTGCCAACAGGAATATATATTATCATATATCAGTAACACAAAAAACAATTATTTTGACCAGATTATAAATATTTTTTATTAATGTTATAAAATAACAAACATTATTTTAATGCATAATTCTTAAAGTCTAAAATTATGTATTAAAACAATTCTAAAACATTTGTGTCATGTTAAGACTATTAAATATTAATATCATGTAGTTAGCACTATACTATTTTAGGACTTCTCAACTTTAATTTCCCCAAAACGACAATTGAACCGGAAACAAAAAGTGGAACAATAAAAATAACAATTTGACCAAAATCACTCCGGTGCAAGCGCTAAATAACTTCTCTAATTATTATATTCAGCACTATGCTGCATGTAAAGTTTTAATGCCTGGGCCACACTAACCAACAAATGCCATTACTTATTGCGATAATAATGTCATAATTTAAATTTAATATTTTAATTTTCTTTCGTGATGTCTCTGAGGGTGAAGCGCCCGCTTCTCTGCACTAGAATGCGGGTTCGAAACCTGGCAAGTAGCTACCAATGTGACTTACATAAGGTGAACGTAGTGGTTACATACTCTTTGGTGAACGGAAAACATCGTGAGACAACTTAACTTATAATTTCTAATTATTATAAGATTAAAATCGCCAATCCGCCTTAAGCAAGCGTGGCGATTAATGCTCAAACCTCCCTACTCTCTGTGGTGAGAAGAGGCTGAGCAGTGGGCACTTTTAGGCTGATGATGATGATTTGATAGGTAATTTAATAATGCCATTAACGTTGTAGTTTGGCGATAGCTTATAATATGGCGTCATCATACCATACAGATATCAAAAATACGCTAAAATGAGTCGTTTGTGTGGCTCTAACGCAACTACAAACAGTCGTTGTTTACTTTTTTATCTTGATTGACTGGATTAAAAACAATTTAAAATTACCCTGAAATGTTATACTTATAATTATACTTAAAACCTGAAAAATATCGTTTAAATATTTACGTGGTCGTGGTAATCAGGCAAGCAGTCGGTTGGATTACTGCAAGCACAAGGAGATTCTGTAGGCATTTCTTGAAGTTAGCTGTATAAAACCAATATTATGTGATATGTGTGATTTAATTGACGTTGCTATTAATATTTATAAAATGTATTTTTTAGATTTACTGCTGTCATGGCTACAAAAAAAGGTTCGAAATTTAAAAAAAAAAACTATATTAAAAAAACGCATTAAGTTACAATCATTATTTTTTGATGACAGATATAAACAAAAAGTATCTGTTACGAGGACTATTGAGGTATAAAATAGCATTAGGTTCTAAACATTTTTTATACATATAGAACAAAGAAGACCGGTGCTAGAATACTGAAGTAAAATATTTTAGAGTGATGTTGAAAATAAAAGGCGTAGACTGTAGCAGGTAAATCAGAGAATAGCTGCTATAGACAGAATTTAGTGACATATTATAATACCTATATAGTTTGTTTTTCGATTGAGTTTACTGATCTGTATCGCCTAACATAAAACTAAAATATTTTATAAACTAGCTTCATCTACTTGTATAGTTTTTAACAAAAACGCTGGCAAGATAGCTTATTAATTGCGGGAGCTAGACTAAACTAGACTATTATTCTCTATATTGAATCTTTAGTTTTATAAATCGACTAGCGTAACACCAATTTTCGTAAAATTGCTCGAGAGCAATGATTGTGTGTGTATGAATCCTTACCTTACCTGTCTGTATAGTGTATACCTTGCTCTCTGGCTTGCAGAATCAATATTTCTCTAGTCCTAAAATTTGACAAATAAATGACATTGACAGTAGTATTTTTCTGGAACCTGCCTTATTTCGTGCAAATAATTAAAATTTTATTTTAATAGTTCATTATTCATTCTCTAATTTATGCTTTTAGGTTTCTGGTATGCTTTAGTCGCGTTATTTTAATAACTTGACACAAACAAGATTGGTCCTAATCGATCATATGTTACCCCCATTAAGATTTTATGCAAAGTCCTAATTTATGTTAATCAGTGAGTGTGCTGTAGCTGCCAAAATTGGTGAAGTCTGCACATGCACCGTTGAGATCCCTTCAAATCGTGCTTCAAAGGTATGTACGTATTTGATATTTGTTTATTGTTAAATTATATCCACTAAAGGCATTATTTATAAGTACAAAAATCTAACAAAGATTGTTCTGATGAAAGATAGGTCCGTGAGTCGTCTTAGGGGAAAGGCTCAAGATTATAATACACAAATAAAATGACTATTTTTGGAAACCCAATGTCAAGACATGCTCTCTTATCTTGAATGAAAACTCACCAAGTATACAATTATGTTATTCAATATTTGTTACAAAACTGTTTTTGAAAATTTATAAAAAAAACTGACGTCTTACTAAACCATTTAAACCTAATGTTGAGATATTACTAATATGTACATTTGCATCTTATTTATTGTTGGTGACAGCATTAGGGAATTTAGTTGTTATTTATTATTTCTGTCTGATAAGCTTATGAAATTGATAGTGTCCATTGACTGACAGCTAGAGTTATAAAATTATTGATTGGCAATAGATAGTGATGATGGAATAGTGGAAACTTGGACCTTATTTTATAAAACTTCTGACATTCATATGGTTATACATCATTGAGATAAACTGTGCTATTCAAAGTTATTTTTATACAATATCATTATGATGAGCTTATATATTGATTCATTAGTCATCTTCTACTACAGTTTTCCATTTAAAAAATTCTTTGAATACTACAAAGTTACTGTAGGCATAACTGGCATATAACAATTAGAAACATAATACCCAAAGGAGTATCTAACCAAAAATAATTCTATTTAACTGACTTCAGATTTTGGCTATCTGCAAGTTTATAAATTAGAGTAGATATGTTAAATGGTATTTACGACACTAACACACACATAAATTAGAATGGATATGTGTTATTTATTCAGCCTAACCAGGGTTGCCTACTCTAAAATATAGCAGTCTGGAAAAGTCTTATGCTAACACTGATTTTAGGAGTCTAGACCCTAGACCTAAAAGTTTTTATGAAACCTTCTTAAAAACTAACACCAGATTCTCAATTCCCTTTTATAATGAGCTTAACATTAAGAACACACACATCTATGTATATGAACCAAAATAAAAAACAACCATCTGACTTCATTGTTTGTTCTATTTAGTAGACTCCTACACATAAATATATATAATAAAATGCTTATGCTCTTTAGTTTCTTAGTCTATTATTTGTAATACTGGCCATGTCAATTATTTAAAACAGTGTCATTGTTTTTGGAAATAATTCTTATTGGAAATGCAGTATTAAGTGAATGTTCTCTATTTTCTCAAATAGAACTGCTGAATAGAATTTTATGTTGTCTTCTACTTATGGTTAGCTCACACCAAGATGCGATGCTGAGTGCACAAGAGTGCTTATTCAGGCTATCAAATCAACTTTATTTGCTACATGATATGATAAGCAGCAAAAGGCATCAAGGCTCACAATAAGAATTGACAAGGAGGCCTTACAGTATCGTCGCATATTGGCGTGTAGTGCCCCTGAGTGTGGAGTTAAAAAGTCTAATGTTGAGATATTACTAGCCAGCAGAATATTTAAAATGATCTTGGTAATAAAAAATGCTCTGAAGATTTACTTCAAATGACTCACTGGCAAACATAAAATATCTTGTAGAATTATTAATTTATCAAAAGAAGAAATGTAAGCTATCTGCAAATAGTTTTATTTAAAAAAAAATGCATATTTTGAGTTATTAGTACATATATTGAAAGGAAATACTTGTCTCAATTAGTCAAATTAGTGTAACTTAATATTTATGCATTAAGAAGTCAGGGATTCTGATTAAATTTCATTTTTATCTTTAATTCAGCAAACAAAGGTATCTTTGAAACGTTTGTGTTACTGCACATTTTTCTTAAAATTTGTATTAACATTTCCAAAAAAATATCTGTGCCTAAAATTAGGTACCCAGAGACCTGTCACTGCTGAGATTTAATTATATTATGCATTGCCAACCAACAGACGGAAATATTGAGTTTTTAATTTATTCACATTTTTCAAGAAATGTTTGTTCCCTTGCCAAGGATACATTAAACTGTTTGTTAAATAAATAATCTCTAGACTAATAGGCGAATATGTTTTGTGCCTATCTTTCATGTGAACATGTTATATCCACTTGCAATCTGTATGCTGCTGGCTGCTGTTATTTTTATCTAACTCTTTTCACTTTGTCTCTGTTTCTTCCAGCTCATAACTCTTGTGTCATAAACTTCATTTTTATGTAATGTTTTGGCATTCGCGCAAATTACGATTTAAATATAATATAAACATACATATTCCAAATACCATTCTTAAAGACCTATACATATAGCAAAATATGCTTATCTATTTTCGTATTTTATTAGCTGGGCACCCTAGTTTCCAATTAAAATAGCCAATTTATGATTCACCTAGTGAAATATAGATGGTTGTTTTGAATGTCTATTTTTGTCCCCGATTTACGTTCACACAATCTATTTTGATTTCTAACACTTTGAACTCGAATAACAAGTTTCGTTACGTTGATTTTGCTTCATGTATTGAGTTATGTTAATAAACAACTTATAAAAACAACAACAACACTCCTCCCACCTAATCTGTCAATTTCATTCAAGTGTTACATCTGACGACACTAGTGACGTAAGAACGCCATTGCACTGGTATAACTGCACTTGTATGACTTCCCATGTATTTATGTCTGATATGATTAGTGCAACACTTCCTTATTTAGCACGCAAATAGCTTTTGTTTACATTGAATATACTTAGTTACGAATTCGATTTTGTTACTCAGCTTGTACAAATGTCCATGTCAAAGTAGAAGTACGGTGCCGAGCTTAGATCGTGTTTGGAATTTAATTGGGGATTCGAAGTCGGCTGATCACTCTTAATTCGTGCAATACATATTGATTAATGTTTATTATGTGTAGGAAGTTAAATCAAGGA